GAGGAGCGCCTCCTGGCAGCTGAGAAGAGTATAGTCCCTGTAGGAGCCTCTAGAGGTGACCCGCGTGCCCCTGTCTTTGAGGGGTGCTCCCCCTCCCCCCTTTTGCCCTCTGTTGCCTCTGCTGCTGCCGTCGACTTCGTTGGCACCGAGTCGGTCGGCGCTGCGTCTGCCCCTAGCGGGCGACGCCTCATCGGCAAGGGCAAAGGGGGCAAGGGCGCTGGAGGGGCTGGCGGGGGCGGTGGAGGTGGAGGTGGAGGAGGCGGAGGGAGTGGGGGTGGTGGTGGGAGTGGTGGCAGGGGTGGGGGCTTCGGTGGCGGCGGTGGCGGCGGAGGCGGCGGCGGCGGTGGCGGTGGGAGCGGAGGAGGCGGTGGCGGCGGTGGCGGAGGTGGCGGCGGAGGAGGTGGAGCTAGTCGGGGCGGCTCTGCGCAGCGGGGCGGCTTACGTGGTGGTCAGCGCCAGCAACAGCAACGCACTCGTGAGACCCCGTCCCCCCAGCAGCTTCGTGAGTGGTACGCTGGGCGTCAGCGAGGTGGGGTTACTGGTCCCTGTACCTACGTCCTCCGTACCGGCGACCGCGCTGGTGAGCAGTGCGGGGGCTCGCACTCCACCCAGCGCTGCTTCGGCCGCCTGACGTACGCTTGGCGTCACCAGTTCCCTGACGGCACTGAGATCCCTCGCTGGGGAGAGCTGTCTAGGGTGGGGGTTGCTATCTTTGATCTTGAATATGATGCTATTCTTGCTGCCATGTATGCTGTGTCTACTAGTGATGAGGGTGACTGTTACCTGTGTGTTCCGCCTGACCCGGGCATTGAGGCTGCTGCTCTAGGTGCTGGTGAGGCTGCTGCTCTAGGTGCTAGTGCGTCTGCTGCCCCAGGTGCTGGTGAGTCTGCTCTCTCAGGTACCACGTCGGCTCAGGCCTTACACACCTTCACCCTTGACTCGGGTGCTTCCCGCTCCTTCTTTCGAGACCGCACCACGCTTACGCCACTTAGTCGGCCGGTTGCGGTCTCCCTGGAGGACCCCTCTGGGGGTCCTGTCCTTGCTCGCTTCTCCACTGTCTTACCGTGTCCGGCAGCCCCCTCTGGAACCCTGTCAGGTCTCTACCTCCCCTTGTTCTCTACGAACTTGGTGAGTGGTGCTGATCTACAGGATGGGGGGGTTGACCATTTCACTCCTGCGAGTCAGCGGGTGACCCACTGTACGTGTGCTCGGACGGGCCGACACTTGGCCACGTTTACCCGTCGGCCGGGGTCGAGCCTGTACACACTGACTACTGAGTCTCCTCCGGTTGCTGAGTCTGGTCAGGTAGCTGCGTCGAGTCAGGTGTTTGCTGCAGCGTCCAGGTCTGGTCCTGAGTCTGCTCCCTGCTCGTGTCGTCTCCTGTCCCACCAGACTCTCCTTTGGCACCACCGCCTTGGTCACCCCTCCCTGCCTCATCTCCGAGGCATGGCCTCCCGTGTCCTTGTCTCTAGTCTCCCCCGGTCCCTCCCTCCCCTCCCTCTGGGGCCTGCCCCTACCTGCGTTCCCTGCGTCGAGGGGCGGCAGCGCGCCGCCCCTCACTCCTCCGAGTTTCCGCCGACAGAGGCTCCCCTGCAGACTCTTCACATGGACGTGTGGGGCCCCGCCCACGTCCGTGGCCAGGGTCACGAGCGTTACTTCCTGTTGGCGGTTGACGACTACTCGCGTTACACCACGGTGTTCCCCTTGCGCAGCAAGGGTGACGTCACTGAGGTGTTGATCGACTGGATCCGCGCAGCTCGTCTCCAGCTCAGAGAGAGTTTCGGCTCGGACTTTCCTGTTCTGCGTCTGCACTCTGACAGGGGCGGGGAGTTTTCCTCTGCCCGTCTGGGAGCCTTCTGTCGTGCACAGGGCATCCGCCAGACCTTCACGCTTCCGGCCTCTCCACAGCAAAATGGGATTGCTGAGCGCCGCATTGGCATGGTCATGGACGTCGCTCGTACGTCCATGATCCATGCGGCTGCTCCCCATTTTCTGTGGCCGTTTGCGGTTCAGTACGCAGCGCATCAGCTCAACCTTCAGCCCCGGGTCTCCTTGCCAGAGACCTCCCCCACCTTGCGGTGGACGGGGAAGGTTGGCGATGCGTCTGCGTTTCGGGTCTGGGGATCTCGGGCGTTTGTCCGCGACTTGTCTGCGGACAAGCTGTCCCCCCGTGCTGTTCCCTGCGTCTTCCTCTGCTTCCCCCCTGACGCGCCTGGTTGGCAGTTTTACCACCCCACCTCGCGCCGTGTTCTGTCCTCCCAGGACGTCACCTGCGCCCCTACCGCACTGCGCCCCTCCCCCCGCCGCCGCTCTTCAATGCGCCAGGTCCTCCCCCAGTAGACCCTCTCCCCCCTCAGGGTCCTGCCCCGTCAAGTGTGTCCCAGGTAGACGCAGTCGAGCCTGTCGAGGTAGCTGTTGACTCTGGTGCTGCTAGGGGTGCTGAGCCTGCGGGTGCCGGGTCTGGGGGTGCTAAGCCTGGGGGTGCGGAGCCTGGGGGTGCTGAGTCTAGGGGTGCTGAGCCTGGGGGTGCTGAGTCTGGGGGTGCTGAGCCTGGGGGTGCGGAGCCTGGGGGTGCTGAGCCTGGGGGTGCGGAGCCTGGGGGTGCTGGGTCTGCTCGTGTGGTCCCTGGCGGTGCTTCGTCGAGGCGGGAGCTACTCTCTCCGCAGGAGCTGCGCGAGTGGTTTGCCCGGCGCTGGAGCCGTGCTGCTGGAGCTGGAGGTGCTACTCTTGCTACTGGTCCTGGAGGTGCTCGTACTGGCGGTACTGGAGCTGCTGGGACTGGGGGTGCTGCTGGGGCTGCTGGAGTTGGTCCTGCTGGAGGTACTGGTGGAGCTGCTGGCGGTACTGGAGCTGACGGTCCTGCTGGAGCTGGAGCTGCTGGAGCTGCTGGAGCTGGAGCTGGAGCTGCTGGAGCTGGGGGTGTTGGCGTTGGAGGTACTGCTGGCGCTGGTGCGTCTGAGGGTGCTGGAGTTGGCGCTGTTGGAGCTGGAGGTGTTGCTGCCGCTGGGGGTACTGGTGCTGTCCCTGCTGGTTCTTGAGGCGCTGCGCGGCCGCGGCCGTACTTCGTTCCGCTCCTTGAGCAGGTTCTTGGTCTCCCGCCCTCTATTGGTCCTGCTCCTCCCTTAGAGTGTCCACAGCCTGTCCAGTCGCGGTCACAGTTACAGCCCGCCTCCCCCCTGCCTGCTCCTTCTCCCTACACTGGTCCTACTGGAGGTCTTGCTGAGCGTCGTGAGCCTGCGTCTCATCCTGCGTCGCCTGTTCGTGCTGCTCGCACTAGTAGTCGTGCTCCGCGTCCGCGTCCTCCTGCCTGTTCCACTGCTCCTCTGCGTGTCCCGTTGCCGTCTCCTCCAGAGTCCTCTCTTCCTGTCCTTGCTGACCCGGAGTCTGACTCTCTTCGTGCTGCCAGTCCTACTGTCACGCGTCTCCTGGCTACTGTTGTCACTGACCCTTCCTTTGAGTCCACTGCTGCGTCTGCCTTAGTTGCTGAGCTTGTCGACTTTGCTGCTCGCTGTCGTCTAGACTACGCTGCTAGTCTTGTTGCTGAGTCTGAGTCTGTCTGTCCTCCGTCCGTCGGGGGTGAGTGTTACAACACTGACTCAACTAGGAACCGGGTCTAACTAACGGGCCTAGGCTTAGTAGCCTAGGCCAAGTGGGTGTCGAGAGTCTTGTCACCAAGGAGAATTGAGAATGGTTGAGTTCACTATAGGACCAAAGGTACACATAGCAAACAAACAGGTGCACAACCAAGCAAACAATTAGATAGCTACACTGTAGTAACTACAGCAAGCAGGATATATTATATATAACTTTAACACACCCCCTTAGCCTGCTTGCAGTAATAACTAGTGTAGTCAACACCCCCTGAAGGGGTAGAGACGGTGCGGTGGGAGACGGCAAAGGGGTACGTGAGGGGAGGCGGCAAGAGGGAGAGAGGAGAGAAGAGGAGATAAGAACAGAGGAGGAGGTGAGTGAGTGATGAGGAGAGGAGGTGGGGGGGTGGCCGCGGCGTCCCCTCTTACTAACCCCCTTTTACGAAAGGGGGGTTGAGTGGGGGATGAGGAGAGGAGGTGGGGGGGTGGCCGCAGCGTCCCCTCTTACTAACCCCCACATCCCCACCCCCAATCAACCACCCTCCTTCAACCTCACCCCCCATTTCAGCCGCCCCCTGGAACCGCACCCCCTCCCTCCCTTCCTTCCTCCACACCCCTGCCCCACCCAGAGTTGTCTCTGCCCTGTCCTTTAGACGGCAGCCAGCCCTCCCATCCCCCCGTCCCCGCCACCTACCCCCCAGAGTAGCAGCCGCGGGAGGGGAGAGGCAGGGCAGAGGGTGGTGCTCTGCTGGCGGGGTTCTCTGCTGGCGGGGTTCTCTGCTGGCGGGGTTCTCTGCTGGCAAGGTTCTCTGCTGGCGGGGTTCTCTGCTGGCGGGGTTCTCTGCTGGCGGGGTTCTCTGCTGGCGGGGTTCTCTGCTGGCGGGGTTCTCTGCTGGCGGGGTTCTCTGCTGGCGGGGTTCTCTGCTGGCGGGGTTCTCTGCTGGCGGGGTTCCTTGCTGGCGGGGTGCTCTGCTGGCGTCTGGTGCTGGTGCCTGGTGCTGGCGTCTGGTGCTGGTGCCTGGTGCTGGCGGCTGGCGCTGGTGCTGGTGTCTGGTGCTCGCTCTTGACACCCGCCCACCACCTCTTTCGCCCTGATCCTCCCTCCCACAGCAGCAACAGCGGCAGAGAGAGAGAGAAGGAGGTGTGGCGGCGGCAGCACTCACCCACCCACACCCCCTGAACCTCCCCCCCACAGCAGCTGTGGCAGAGAGAGGGGAGGAGGGAAGTGTGGAGGCGGCTAATGCTGCAGCAGGTACTCCAGCCACCCCCGCAGACTCCATTCCCTGTGATGCACTGTTGGGTGGCAGCAGGTGCTGCTGGCGCTGGCGGTCGCTGCTGACATCCGCCCACCACCCCCGTCCCCAACTCCTGCCCCTTCATGAACCGCCAACCCCCACTCCCAATCCCCAGCCGTCCCCCACGGGCCAACACACCACCACCTCCCCCTCCTTTTGGAAATGGAGCGGGATCTGACGGCGGGGCAGGGACGAGGCGGGACGACGGGATGGTCGCGGGGTGCGGGTTCGGACGGGATACGAGGGATCTGCGCGGACGGTTGGTGAGCTGGCTGGCGATCCGCCGCCACGCCCTTCGCGTTTTTCTCTCTCTTCCCCACAGCGACCGTCGCTGCACACGCGAGTAGCCGCGACGAGGGGATGGGCTTGTGGCGAGGTGCGTACGGGCGACGAGAGGCGAGCAGGAGGCAGGATGCGTACGGGGCATCGATCTGGGTGCGTGCAGGGCGCGGACGAACTGACGCCGGCGACGGTCGGTGGCGCAGGTCAAAGGCGGTCGTCGCTGACGGTGCATTTGTCGCGATTGGCGCTGGTTAGCGTCACTATCGCGGCTAGCGCTGGACGGCGCAGATATCGCTGCTGGTGCTGGTCGTTCGCGGCTGGCGGCTGTTGCGGCGGGCAAGACGGCGGATCCGTTGGCTCGCATGGCATGCTCGCTGGCGATGTCGCTGGTGCGCCGCTGGCGATTTCGCTGGCGATTTTGCTGGCGGGTTGCTGGCGTTTGCCATAGCGTCCGTCGCGGCCGTCGTGCTGAGCGCCACGACGCGATAGGCGACGGGATGGCCGCGAAGGTACTCGCCGTGGCGCCCGTCACCACGGTCGAAATTAAGGACGTCACGGGCGCCGTGACGAGTGCGTCAAATGGTGGGCCCATAGGAACGTTACGGCTCGATACCATGTTACAACACTGACTCAACTAGGAACCGGGTCTAACTAACGGGCCTAGGCTTAGTAGCCTAGGCCAAGTGGGTGTCGAGAGTCTTGTCACCAAGGAGAATTGAGAATGGTTGAGTTCACTATAGGACCAAAGGTACACATAGCAAACAAACAGGTGCACAACCAAGCAAACAATTAGATAGCTACACTGTAGTAACTACAGCAAGCAGGATATATTATATATAACTTTAACAGTGAGTGTGCTCTTAGCACGGACGTCTTTGAGGACAGGCAGGAGGAGTTTCAGTGTTTTGCTGCTGCTTTGCCTCATCTCGTGTCCTCGCTGATTGCCCCTGAGGGAGACCCGGATGCACCAGACATCCCGACTCCTCGATCGTACGCTGAGGCGATCGAGGGTCCCTACTCCTCACAGTGGCAGTTAGCCATGGACGCAGAGATGGCTTCCTGGAAGTCCACAGGCACCTACGTCGACGAGGTTCCCCCACCTGGGGCGAACATCGTCAGTGGCATGTGGATTTTCAGGGTGAAGCGGCCGCCGGGTTCTCCGCCTGTCTTCAAGGCGCGTTACGTGGCTCGAGGCTTCAGTCAGCGGCAGGGAGTTGACTACTTTCAGACCTTCTCTCCCACCCCGAACGTGACCACTCTTCGGGTGCTACTGCACATAGCCGCTCAGCGCGACTACGAGCTTCACTCTCTTGACTTCAGCACAGCTTTCCTGCAGGGCAGCCTGCACGAGGAGATCTGGCTGCGCCGCCCACCTGGCTTCACTGGGTCGTTTCCTCCTGGTACCCAGTGGAGCCTCCGGCGGCCAGTCTACGGCCGCCAAGCGCCCCGTGAGTGGCACGACACACTGAGGACTACACTTGCGGCTCTTGGGTTTGCTCCTTCTACTGCCGACCCGTCGCTGTTTCTGCGCACCGACACCTCTTTGCCGCCGTTCTACATCCTCGTGTACGTCGACGACTTGGTCTTTGCCACTGCTGACACTGCTGGACTCGCCCACGTGAAGTCCGAGCTGCAGAAGAGACACACGTGCACAGACCTGGGTGAACTGCGCAGCTACCTTGGCTTGCAGATCACCCGGGACAGAGCACAGCGCACCATTACCCTGACTCAGTCACACATGGTGCAGCAGGTCCTTCAGCGCTTCGACTTCACGTACTCCTCGCCTCAGGCCACTCCTCTGTCTACTCGCCACTCGCTCTCAGCTCTGCCTTCGGATGAGTCCGTAGAGCCGAGTGGCCCGTACCCAGAGCTTGTTGGCTGCCTAATGTACCTGATGACCTGCACACGACCTGACCTTGCATACCCTCTTAGCATCTTGGCACGCTATGTTGCTCCTGGGAGACACCGGCCAGAGCACATGGCTGCAGCGAAGAGGGTGTTGCGCTACTTGTGCAGTACGTCGGGCATGGGGCTAGTGCTTGGAGGGCGACGTCGAGTGGTCCTCACAGGTCACGCAGACGCTTCTTGGGCTGACGACCAGGCTACGCAGCGGTCGTCACAGGGTTACACCTTCAGCCTTGGTTCCGGCTCTGTTTCGTGGTGGTCTACCCGCTCGTCTTCTGTTCTCGGCTCCAGCTATGAGGCCGAGATCTACGCGGGGGCCATGGCTGCACAGGAGCTACGCTGACTCACCTACCTGCTGACTGGCCTAGGAGAGCCGCCTCGTTCTCCTCCAGTTCTGTACGTAGACAACAAGGCCATGCTGGCCTTGTGTCGGGAGCACAGACTGGAGCACAGAACGAAGCACATTGCTCTTCGCTACTTCCTAGCTCGTGAGCTGCAGCAGCGTGGTCAGCTGCGCCTTGCTTACGTGGCCTCTCAGGCCAACACTGCTGATATCTTTACCAAGGCACTTCCGCCTTGTGATCATCAGCGCTTCTGTACGATGCTAGGTCTTGTGCCTACTTGGCCTCACTTGCTCACTTCTTGACCTTGCTTGTACTGTGATCTTTCTATACCTGCACTTGCTTGTTTACCTTTATATATGATCTTGCATGTGAACTGGCCTTCTGGCCTTGAACTTGTGCTCGGAATGTGTGGTGACGTTGTGATCCACCCTGAGCTTGTTTTGCTTTGCTTGACTAGTCTTGTGACCTCTTGTTCTCCCCCACTTTGCCTATGGGGGTGTGTCAAACTCATATGCTATAGTCTGTGTAGGCTGTAGTGGGTTAGACAATATGGGGTACAACACTTTTAGGTTTTCCTACTTGTACCCACCTGCTTGCTAGTTCATTCATTCCTCATTTCTTCACAACAGCGCGACATGCGCGCGAGACACAGCGCGACATGCGCACGAGACACAGCGCCAGCGACTGAGGCGCGCCTAAAACGAGTAAGAGATTGAAATAGTTTCAGAGTTTCTCCGCGGACTCAGATTTCTTTCACCCAACAACTCACGCTCTCCCTGCTGGCCGGTGTGTACTGAGTAACGCGGCGTCCTTTCTCAGATTTACGTCAGGTCATTCTATTATTTTTGTACTAAATGTAATTCTTTGTTTGTTTTCTCTTTGACAGCGACGAGACACGAGTGGTGCTGATCCGACAGCACATGTTCCTATGATGACGGAAAAGCACTCACCTACCTCTCCCACCAGCACGTGAGCATCACCAAGCGGCGGATCGCGCGCCACATGACAGGCGACGGATCGCGCACCATGAGAGGCTCGGCACTGCCTGGTGAGAGGCTCGCCACAGCCAGCTGAGAGGCGCGGCGAATTGCCTCTTCCGCGCTGCAAGCGCGGCGAGTTGCACCTTCAGCGCTGCAGGCACTGCTAAGTCCCTTTTCCGCACTGCAGGCACGGCGAGTTTCTTTTTCCGCGCTCCAGGCACGGCTAAGTGCCCTTTCCGCGCTGTTTTCCGCCTTGTCCTGCCTTTTCCCGCCGTCTCCCGCTCTTTCCCATAGTTTCCCAAGGTTTCCCTTTCCGCGGTTTCCCGCGGTTTCCCGCTGTTACCCGCGGTTTCCCGCCGTTTCCCGCGGTCAACCTAATCCCTTCCCCTTCCTGCGCCTCCACTCCTTCATGCTCGGTTACGCGCGGCTCGCAGCGGTAGCGCGCGCTGACGGTTCCCGATCTCATGCGCCAGATACGAGAGGACGTGATGTGCGCCGCGCGTCACGGGAGGACGTGATGTGCGCCGCGTCACGGGAGCGTCACGGGAGAACGTGATGTGCGCCGCGTCACGGGCGCTACTTCAAGATTGAGCGGAACGAGCGCCATTTGGCAGGCGGCGGAACGAGCGCGATGCGGCAGGCGGCGAAGAAAGTCGCTAGGGAACTCGGATAAGGGTGAGAAAATCGCTTCCTCGTTCCGCCCTCCCTTGCTCGTTCCGCCCTCCCTCATTCCGTGCTTACTCCTCATTCCGCCCTTCCTCCTCATTCCGCCCTTCCTCGTTCCGCCTTTCCTCCTCATTCCGCCCATCCTCCTCATTCCGCCCATCCTCCTCATTCCGCCCATCCTCCTCATTCCGCCCTTCCTCGTTCCGCCTTTCCTCCTCATTCCGCCCAATAGAAGCTATTGCTACTTATGCTACAGATTTCCGCCCTTCCTACTCATTCCGCCCTCCGTTGTTCCGCCCTTCCTCCTTTTCTGTTTTCCCTCACTCACCTCGTTTGCTTTCCCCCACTCACCTCATTTTCCCCACTATTCATCCCACTCACCTCACATCCCTCACTGTTCACCCCCCACTGTTTCCCTGTCCCTCACTGTTCACCCCCACTGTTTCCCTGTCCCTCACTGTTCACCCCCCACTGTTTCCCTGTCCCTCACTGTTCACCCCCACTGTTTCCCTGTCCCTCACTGTTCACCCCCCACTGTTTCCCTGTCCCTCACTGTTCACCCCCACTGTTTCCCTGTCCCTCACTGTTCACCCCCCACTGTTTCCCTGTCCCTCACTGTTCACCCCCACTGTTTCCCTGTCCCTCACTGTTCACCCCCCACTGTTTCCCTGTCCCTTACTGTTCAACCCCACTGTTTCCCCATCCTTCACTGTTCACCCCGCTGTTTCCCCATCCTTCACTGTTCACCCCGCTGTTTCCCCATCCCTCACTGTTCACCCCACTGTTTCCCCATCCCCCACTGTTCACCCTCCGCTCCCCTCTATTCACCATCCCCCCCTTATCCCTTGTATTCACCTTCCCCCACTGCTCCCCTCTATTCACCATCCCCCCCTTATCCCTTGTATTCACCTTCTCCCACTGCTCCCCTCTATTCACCTTCCCCCAGTGCTCCCCTGCACTCAGCTCTGCTCCCCTGCACTCACCTCTGCCACAATTGCTAAACCGTGTGCCATCCCGTCACACCTGCCATCCAGGTGAGAGGTTCAGCAGAGCGTGGTGAGAGGCTCGGCAGAGCGAGGTGAGAGGCTCGGCAGAGCGAGGTGAGAGGCTCGGCAGAGCGAGGTGAGAGGCTCGGCAGAGCGAGGTGAGAGGCTCGGCAGAGCGAGGTGAGAGGCTCGGCAGAGCGAGGTGAGAGGCTCGGCAGAGCGAGGTGAGAGGCTCGGCACAGCCAGGTGAGAGACTCGGCACAGCCAGGTGAGAGGCTCGGCGCAGCCAGGTGAGAGGCTCGGCACAGCCAGGTGAGAGGCTCGGCACAGCCAGGTGAGAGGTTCGGCGCAGCCAGGTGAGAGGCTCGGCGCAGCCAGGTGAGAGGCTCGGCGCAGCCAGGTGAGAGGCTCGGCACAGCCAGGTGAGAGGCTCGGCGCAGCCAGGTGAGAGGCTCGGCACAGCCAGGTGAGAGGCTCGGCGCAGCCAGGTGAGAGGCAGGGCGCAGCCAGGTGAGAGGCTCGGCACAGCCAGGTGAGGGTCGGGTCGTTGCTGCTTGCTCTCTCCTGTTCACCTACAGTGCCTCCCCCTCTCTTTCTTTGCGCAGGTGTCATTTTCTTCGGTGCCAGCCACTGCGATCTCTCTTGTTGCGATGAGAAGGATAGGATAATGCAAGTCATTGGTATGCTCTGATATGTATGGTTGTATGTAACATCACATATACAACCCCTGAATTCCTGTTACCCCCCCCCCCCCCCCCCCCCCCCCCCCCCCCCCCCCGCCACTGAGTTTCTGTCTCCCCAATTTGGTGAGAGCGTGTTTTTCGCCCTCTGAAGGCGCGTCTGAAATCGTGCTTCTGCCATCCCCCCGTCCTCTGAAACCCCGTCTCTGCTTTTCCCCCTCTGAAACCTCTCACCTGCCATTCCTTCCCCTGACACCTGCCACACAACCCCACCCACCCGGCCCCTACCCTCCTTGCGCAGGTGGCGCGGTCTCTCCTTGGGGTGGGGGCGCCGTGAAGACTTTGTGAAGCGTTTTGCCTGAAGATGCGGTCATGAAAGTGAAATAGGATATGGAATAGGAAGCTCTAGGATTGTTCTGAATAGGATTCTGAAATAGTGAGTAGGTTAGTAGTAGGCAGGAAGAGAAAACAGAAACAAGCAGGGACACACAGAAAGAGAGAGAAAAGAGAGACAGGGGCCGGCAGAGAAGGGGAGAGGAAAGCAGCGACAGGGGCAAAGTGCGGAAGCACAAAGTAGAAGCACGTAGTAGAAGCAGAAGCAGGAATATGGTATGATAGGGAGTAGGGTAGACATGCATGAGCCATGCCCAGGAATTTCCAGGGCGCTTCGAGGGGCTGTGAGGGGTTGTGAGGAGGATTGGGGGGTAGGGGGGCCTTAGGGGGGCCATGGGGGGGTTTTCCCAGTGCGCCGCCTTTACTGTACCACTGTATTGCCTCCTTCCTGATCGTTATAGTGAAATCTGCTTGTTTTTTATTTGTTAATAAAATGGTGATGTGGGGAGTAGTTGGGGTAGTGGTGATGGTGGTGGTTTGGAGGATTATGGTGTGGAGGAGAGATTGGTTGTGGTTATAATTGCTGATTGTTTGTGTCACCAGTTCTGCTCAAGGGCACGGTGCCTTCCTGTTGCCGTTTTCTTGAAATTTATTATCCATCTCGCAAAGTTCCTGGCATGGCAACTAACCAACCCTACTACCACGGGTACCTACCTACAAGTGCTGAAATTAGGAAAAACAATGTTATCTACCCAACCATCTAAAGAACTATATAAGAGACCACTAGATGGAAGGGTTCACATCACAAGCGCCGCACGTTCTGGGTTTCTCCTAGGAAGAGGCACCCAAACACGTCGTTGAAAAAGGTTTTGGGTCGCAGCCACGCGGATTCATCTTCCGCTTCTGCACTGCCCTCTGAGCCGGTAGGCCTTGGGAAGATCCTCTTCATGTCGTACGTCACAGCACGCGTGCAGTCCGGGCAGTATGTTACCTGTACACCGCCACATGAATGCATAACATATGCAAATTCTAAAGAAAACAATATATAATAAAGGAGAATAGAATCATGATAATTTTACAAAATGTAGGGCATTAGGAAGCTGAATAGCAGGGAAGGAGGCGGTAATTGCACGACTAACCTCTAGAAGCTTGGGTTGGAAGTGATCATCCAGCATCACATCCACACCGTAGATTGCTCGACAGGTGTCGTCATCTGGTTGCATCTCGGGATGGACGGTGACAGCAGCAGCCAGGAGCTCCCGCAGCATCCTCTGCACTGATTGGTCGATAGATTGCCACGTCACTGTAGCGGCAGGCATGCAAGTTGGGTACAGTTGGAGGGGAAAGAGCGAGTGGAGGAGGAGGGATGAGAGGGGGAAAATATGCTCCTTTCATGCGTATTCCTGTGTCATGGGGATGTGTGCAGTTAGCTGTTGCATGCCATTAGCAGAATGCATGACATGTCAAACCCCATACATACCATCTCACCAACCATGCATACCATGCCATCGCCCATCCATACCACGCCATCCCCCATTCACGCCATGCTGTCACCCATGCATACCGCTGTGCTCGTGCTCAAATGCCTGCACAAACTCGTGTGTTGGAACGTGCTCATACTTGTGACCACTGTAGTTCTGACGAGAGTGCGAGAGGATGGAGAGGGGGAGGAATGGAGAGAGGGGGGGATGGAGAGGGGAGGATGGAGAGAGGGGAGGATGGAGAGAGGGGAGGATGGAGAGAGGGGAGGATGGAGAGAGGGGAGGATGGAGAGAGGGAAGGATGGAGAGAGGGGAGGATGGAGAGAGGGGAGGATGGAGAGAGGGGAGGATGGAGAGAGGGATACAGGGGAAAGGATGGCATGTCAACAAAAGCATATTCTCATACTTGTGATTGCTGCAGTTCTGATGAGAGCAGGATGGAAGGATGGAGAGAGGGAGGGGAGGATGGAGAATGAGATGGGAGGATGGAGAATGAGATGGGAGGATGGAGAATGAGATGGGAGGATGGAGAATGAGATGGGAGGATGGAGAATGAGATGGGAGGATGGAGACATGAGAGACACACAGATGCATGTGCAAGCGGGCGCGCGAGCGCATGTGTGTGTGTGTGTGTGTGGCTGTGTGTGTGCGTGTGTGCCCACGTGTGTGTGTGTGTGTGTGTGTGTGTGTGTGCTTGTGTGTGTGTGTGTGTGTGTGTGCCCACGTGTGTGTGTGTGGCTGTGTGTATATGTGTGTGTGTGTGTGTTTGTGTATGTGTGTGTGTATGTGTGTGTGTGTGTGTGTGTGTGTTTGTTTGTGTGTGTGTGTGTGTGTGTGTTTGTGTGTGTGTATGTGAATCAGGGAGTATGGAGTGTCACAACCAGAATGTGCATGAATCAGTACCGTGATGACATGTCATGAATGAAGCAATTCTGTATCGCACCACACCACAACACACCACACCACACTGCACCGCACCATACCATGACAGTGAAGTGTGTCTGGAAGTCCGACAGGGAGTCCTCTGCTTGAGAATACTTGTTGTTGGCGATGCGAGCCTGGCGGTGCAAGCAAAGAGGGGTGAGTCACATGAGCCATGCAAGAGATGGGAGGCACAGGGCGAGTTGATAAAGTTGAGAGTCCGGCAGAGTGTTTTTTGCTTGAGAACACGTCTTGTTGGCAAAGAGTGCAGCAGGAAACAGGCAGCAGACAGCAACAAGCAAGCAGCATTCCACTCCGCCCGACCCACTCACCCAGAGCACGTCCGATAAATACGCCTCCAGCGGCTTGAGTCTCTTGAGCAGGAGCAGGAAGCGCAGGTCGAACTTCCTCATGTGGAAAAGTGCAGCAGCCAACCAAGCAGCAGGCGGCAAGCGGGCAGCATTCAACCCAACTCACTTCCTCCCGTCAACCCACTCACCCAGAACACATCGGAGAGATATGCCTCCAGCGGCCTGAGCCGCTTGAGCAGCAGCGGGAAGCGCAGGTCGAATATCCTCCCATGGAAGAGTGGGGGGCGGGAAATGTACTTCTGGCACAGCTTGGGGCCGCTCTCTGCCCTGCCTTGTCCCCACCTCCCTGTTGCGCCCGTGTCTGCCATGCTGTGGGGCGCTTCATCCCAACACCAAACAGGCAGCGACAAGGACCAACCAGCAAGCACCAGTGGACCACCCAACTCACCCAGAAGACGTCAGAGAGACATGCCTCCAGCGGTTTGAGCCGCTTGAGCAGCAGCAGGAGGCGCAGGTCGAACTTCCTCCCGTGGAAGAGCGCGGGGCGGGAGATGAACTTCTGGGCCACCTTGGGGCCGGTCTCTGCCAGCCGAATGGTCTCTGCCTTGAGTTCGGCCTCCCCTTAGGCCCAGTCTCTGCCTTGCTGTGGGGGGCCTCACAGCAACACCAGCCAGCAAACAGCAAGCAGCAGGCAGAGAGCATGCAGCATTCAACCCAGCGCACTCACCCAGAACACGTCGGAGAGATACGCCTCCACCGGCTTGAGTCTCTTGAGCAGCAGCAGGAAGCGCAGGTCGAACTTGCGCCCGTGGAAGAGCGCGGGGCGGGAGATGTACTTCTGGGCCACCTTGGGGCCGGTCTCTGCCAGCCGTACGATCTGCGCCAGCTGGCGCGCCACCGTTGCATCCATGCTGCGCGCGAGATTCCAGGGCTTTAAGATCCACGTGTTGTCCAGATCGGGGTCTGTGGGATGAAAGGGGGAGAGAGGTGGGCAGATGAGAGAGGACCAGAGGAGAAATCCAAGGAGGAGGAGGGAGTACAGCGAGAGGGTGCCCAGACGTTCCCTGATTACAATTCTTCCCTACCTTCATAGCTCTCAGGCGCCTCACCCCTTCATCGCTGGCACTCACTCGCCTCCCTGCAGCAGCATCAGCAATCACTCACTCACTCACTCACTCACTCACTCAATCACTCACTCATTCATTCATTTTGCACAACTCACCGACCTGCATGGATCTCAGGCGCCTCACCGCCTTCATAGCCGGCAATCACTCGCCTCCCTGAAGCACCAACATTTTAAAACCTTCGTTTCCTGGAACCTCCCTACGGCAATCAAGGTCTCCTGCCTTCAATGCTCATGGCCCTCTCACCTGCGTCACTATCAGGCTCCTCTCTGCCCTCGTAGCCAGCAATGAGTCGCCTCCCTGCTGCTGCAGCAGCTGCCGCTTCCCTCTGCTGGAAGCATCCAATCAGCGCTGCCAGCTCCGATGTTCACTTACCCTCATTCTTCTCAGGCGCCCCACGGCCCTCATAGCTGGCAATCAGTCGCCTCCCTGCACCAGCAACTTCCGCCGCCTCCCTCTGCTGGAAGCACCCTATGAGCGCTGCCAGCTCCGACTGCATGTCGTACGTGTCTTGCAGCCAGGGGCGCGTGTTGCCGTACGCCTGCATGGAAGAGCAACAACAGAGGACCAACAGAGCAGCAGCAGAGCAAGAGCCAGCAGAGCAAGAGCCAGCAGAGCAAGAGCCAGCAGAGCAAGAGCCAGCAGAGCAAGAGCCAGCATGAGACGGAGAGCAGACAGCCATGCAGCATCCTCTCAGTGCCGCCAACTGTGAGTGCATGCGATACGTGTATTGAAGCCAGTAGCACGTGTTGCCATATGTCTGCACATAGCGAGAGAGTAGCAAAGAGACTATCACACACACACACGTGAGGCAGCATTCGAGAAGATGGTGAAACAGGACAGAATACGGCCTTCAAACACCTCTGCATGCATCAAAGACTGAGCTGGCAGCATGCAACAAGCATATGGGGTATCAGGTACTGAGCAAATGTTGAGCTGACTGCACAGTGCACTATGTGAAAGACATGGCATGTGACGCTGACTGAATTGTACAAAGCGCATCGTGTGTAATGCTGACTGCATATGAACACAGCCCTCCCAGCCCTCCTTGCCCTCCCTGCCCTCCATTCTCTCCTTTGCCCTCCCTGCCCTCTCTGTCCCTTCAACAATTATGCACCTCCCATCCCACCTGCTGAGTCATCCGCGGCAGGTGGCGTTTCATCACAATGCATGCCTCAAACGGCTTTTGCTCCCTCTTGGCCCTCACTTCTCCCTTGGCGCTCCCTTGGCCCTCCCCGCCCTCTCCACCTTCTCCACCCTCCCCGCCCTCCCTTGCCTCTCCACCACGCACCTGCTGGATGGTCTTCGCCAGATGATGTTTCATCACAATGCATGCCTCAAACGGGAACTGGTTCACCAACGGCTCCTGCCCGCCCTTCTCCCGCCTCTCCTTCAGCCCAGCCGCATCTCTGAACGCATCGTCCACCTGCATGCTTGTCCAGATGATGTCCGCCTCGCTGGGTGCGTCAACTGAAAGGCAGTTGGAGGTTTTGGCGGTTGGTTGGGGAATAGGGGAAGCACGAGCATGAATTAAGCTTCGCTACTCCTTCAGCCCAGCCGCCTCTCTGAACGCCTCGTCCATATGATGTCCGCCTCGCTTGGTGAGTCAACTAGAGGATAAGAGGTGGGTGTGGGGGGGGGGGGGGGGGGGGTAAGGAAGATAGGGGGGAAGACCTATCTTTGACGGCTCTCTATGACCTCTCTAGCCTCTCGAAAAGCATCGTCCACCTGCATGCTCGTCCATATGATGTCTGCTTCGCTGGGGGCGTCCACTGGGGGAGGGGGAAGAGGGGATAAAGGGTGGGGGAGGGGGAAGAGGGGATAAAGGGTGGGGGAGGGAGACGAGAGAGCCCACTTAACATAGCTCCTCCACTCCTCCCTTGCTTCTCTGATCTGAACGCATCAATCAGACAATACTTACCTCGCAGATAATATTTGCCTCACTGGGGGCATCAATTGGGGAGGAAGGAAGGGGGATGAGAGAGCAGCAACTCAATGGTGACGCCTCCTCCTCCCTTCCTTGATTCTCTGAATACATTGTCCACCTGCTTGTACTGAATGCAAGTCCACCAGCCAGCCCATCCAGATCATATCCGCCTCGCCAGTGCACTCCAGTGTACAAGGGAGAGAGCACAGTGAGTGTCTATAGCGTGAATAATTCTTTTACAAAAGGTCGATGGTGAAAGGAACAGCGTCAACGCATACAAACACACACAAAGAAAGAAAGATAAAAGGAAAACTTCTGAGAGATATTGGGAAAGAAAGCTGTCGCCTCGCTAGAGGTATGTGGCGAGTACGGCATAGAGGGCAAGCTAACATGCTTGGTGGGTCGTCTATCTCTAGCTAGGGATGGCTAACTAGAGATAAACGACTTACCAAGCATGAGCCCGGAGCAGGTCGTTCAAGAGATGAGGCGCCTCAAGAGAACACATGCGGAAGAGAGCACATGCGATGCTCCCCAGCTTGCCCCTCCCTTGGCTAACATTGCTTCACAAAGGCTGACCCGGTCACTCACTCACTCACCAAAAAGTGAAGTCAGAGCGGGAGAGGTTGTCAAGGATATGGGGCAGACCGCTGTGGACTCGATACACTCGCTTCCCCGCCTTGCCCTGCTCCCCCCATCTACTTGATTGAAGCACTTACCAAAAGTGCATTCGGGGCGGGAGAGTGTGTCGAGGACGTGTGGAAGATCGCTGAACACTCGATAAACCCGCTTCCCTGCTTCCGGCTTCTCCGGCTCGTCTGCTTTCTCTGGTTTGCCTGTTGCTCCACCAGCCTCTCCTCCTCCTGCGTTGTCCTCTTTATTGTCGGGTTCGGCACAAGCAAGAAGAGCGGTTGCCTCTGCGTTCTTTGCAGACGCTGCTGCGAACCTGCACAGGCGCTGCTCATAGGCCTGGGGCGTGGTGGAGAGGGGTATCGTGGGGTGGGATGAGTTGGGATGGGATGGAGTGGGATGGGGTGGGATGGATGGAGTAGTGGGATAGGATGGCGTGGGTGAAGTGTGATGACATGATGAGAGGTGAAAGGAGAGGAAGAGGAGAGGCGCTTTGAGGGAGGCTTGGTTTGAAATGGGATAAGATGGGGCGTGGCCTGTGTGGTGAAAAACGGTCCCTGCCGCCCTTTGAATTGGCTAGAATGCACACGGGAGAGTGGGTGTGAGGAACTGCACGGAAACTGTAGCCGGCGCCCTTGAGCTCAAACTACAAGGGAGTGAAAGGAGCAGTGAAAGTTAGTGTACTTGCTGGAAGCAGTGGAGGGCGCGTGGAGCCACAGAGACAGCCTGAGAGACTGCTGCTGCTGCCCTTACGTTTGATGCACAAGGGAGAAAAAGTAACTTGAGAGTTGAGGAGGGAGTGAGAGAGATGCCATACTTGCTGGAATGCGCTTGAGGGTGTGTGAAACCAAACAGAAAGCTTGGCGGAGCGCTGCTGCTCCTCCCCCACCCCGGCGAGATAGTCCCTTGTGCACTCCTCCCCCGCCTGCACTGCTGCCAGCGGCCACACCAGCGAGTAGCTGGAGGAAGGGAGGAGAACAGAGAGGAGCCATGTGAGCAGAGAGGAGAGCGCAGCTGCGCAGGTATGGGAGGGCAGGGAGGGGCAATGCGTGAGACGAGAGGCGATGAGAGGAAGGCAATCCTCCCCCACCCCGGCGAGATAGTCCCTCGTACATTCCTCTCCCTGCTGCACTGCTGCCCGCGGCCACACGAGTGAGTAGCTGGGAGGGGCAGCAGTGCATGAGGAAGGGAGGAGGGAGTGGGTGGGGGGAGATCTGAGGCTCTGAGCCAACAAACAACCTGAGGGAAAATTCACCCGACAGAAAGTCCACCTGACAACAAAATGACAGCAAAGGAGAAGGAGCAATGTGCCACGAAGAGGAAGAGCGCACATCAGAAGTTGGTCTCGAAGGAAGGATGGCTTACCAGAAACCCAGCACACTGACAGCCACAGCGCATCCCCACGCTCACCTGACAGCCACAGCCCCACACCCATTGCGAGTGATTTTTGAGAATTCTCAAAAATCACTCGCAAGGACTACAACTCCCATCTGACAGCACAGCCCCACGCTCACCTGACAGCACAGCCCCACGCTCACCTGACAGCACAGCCCCACGCTCACCTGACAGCACAGCCCCACGCTCACCTGACAGCACAGCCCCACGCTCACCTGACAGCACAGCCCCACGCTCACCTGACAGCACACCCACACCCACCTGACAACAGATTACCTGACAATTTACACCCCCAGGCCCAGGCTCACCTGAGAGCACACCGCACTCTCACCTGAGAGCACACCGCACTCTCACCTGAGAGCACACCGCACTCTCACCTGAGAGCACACCGCACTCTCACCTGAGAGCACACCGCACTCTCACCTGAGAGCAGAGGCGAAGGAGCCATCAGGCAGGAAGAGGAAGGGCGCACAGCGGAAGTTGGTTTAGAAGGAAAGGAAGGCATACCATACAAAATGCACCTTTAACTATACCCGCCCCATACCTGACAGCAGAGGCGAAGGAGCCATCAGGCAGGAAGAGGAAGGGCGCACAGCGGAAGTTGGGTCGGTCGCTGTGGCGGAAGGCACTGCCGAACTCGTCCATCACATACCTGGGGGGGGGGAGAGGATGGCGAAGCGGGGAGAGGGAGAGAGGATGAGCAGAGGAGGAAAGGGAGAGAGGATGGGGACGCAGGGATAGGGCACGGGCAGCTTGCGCAGGTGGTCAAGAGGAAGGGCGCACAGCGGAAGTTGGGGCGGTCGCTGTGCCAGAAGGCACTGCCGAACTCGTCCATCACGTACCTGATGGGGGTTGGGGGAAGGAGTGGGTGGGGGGGGTATGTGGGAATGTGAGGGGTTGCAGGAGGGTGTGGAAGGAGAATACGGAGAGCAACAAAAGGACGTTGGGGCGGTCGTTGTGACTTTTGAGTCGACTCAAAAGTCAACTCGTCCATCATGTACCTGGGATGCGGGGTGGGGTGGGGTGGGGTGGGGTGTAGGGTGGGGTGTGGGGGTGCGGGTGGGTGTGGAGGGGTGTGAGGGGTTGTGGCAGGGTGTGGAAGTGGGAGGAGCATGAGGAGAGCAACAAGCGAGATTGTGGGAAACAGGTGTAAAGAGAACTGTGGGGAGGGGGAGGAAGAGGCTATTGCATGGCATGTGGTACAGTGTCAGTACATGCAACAGAAAACACTACTACATGGCATGGCATGCGGTATGCCGTCAGTATATAGCAACAGAAAACAACAGTACTGCATGAACGTAGTCCTTTGCCGCAGGGTGTTTTTGAGAATTCTAAAAAATACCCTGCAGCACTCAAGTTGAGTTTTGAGACGTCTCAAGACTCGCCACACTGCACTCTCGTGTCTCGTGGCTCGTGTCTCGTGGCTCGTGTCTCGTGTCTCGTGGCTCGTCCAATTGAGTTTCTGTGGCGAGCTTGTAGCAGCACATGTGGTGCCACATGCCATACAGCACCCAGCATTCCTAGTCAGTGCTCCATCACTCAGAGCGACGGACTAAATGCAGTGCAATGTGGTGCAGTGCGATGCAGTGTGGTGCAGTGTGGTGCAATGCATACCCACTCACCACACAGCACTCTCGTCCAGCTGTGTTTCAGTAGCGAGCTTGTAGCTGCACACGTGGCGCCACATGGCAAGCAGCACTCGATCCACCAATGGCGTGCCAGGCTGCCAGGCTGGCAGGCGAGGAAACATCCAGGAACCTCCGCGCATAAAGGAGGGAAGCGGAGCGCCATTGAGGGAGGAGAGGCGGGGGAGAGTTGAAGCTGCATCATATGGGTCGAAGGGGAAGGGGCCTTCCAGGTCCACCTGGGAATGACAGGGCAAACGAGGAGTGGTGGGGGAAGGGGTGGTGGAAATGGAAAGCGAGGTGGGCGGGGCGAAAGTTAGAGCTGCTTGATCAGGGTCAAAGCGGAAAACGATGAGGAAGAAAAACAAAGGGAAGAACTCCTTCCAGATCCAATGGGGAAGCGCGCAGAAGGAAGGGAAGCCACGCGGCAAGAGGAGGTGACGTTGAGGGAGGAGAGACAGCGGGGAGGAGAGGATGCTGCGAGGAGAGAGAGCGGGGAGGAGAGGATGCTGCGAGGAGAGAGAGCGGGGAGGAGAGGATGCTGTGTCGTGTCACAGAGATCAAAGATACAGGAGCCTTCTAGGCCCAGCTGGGTGGGTGGAAGTAGAGGTGCGGGAGGTAGTTTTGAAAAGGGGCACATGCAAGGGGAAAGTGGAAGGGGCTCGTGGAGAGGTGAGGGGCAGCAGCAATAAGCTGAACAGAACCAGAGAGCAGCATGACGAGGCAAGACTACTGAAATCACCTTCAAGAAATTTCAGAAGTGATTTCAACGCAGCAATAAGCTGAACAGAAGCAGACAGCGTGAAGCGGAGAGATTACGGAAGCTATCGGAGCCCACCAATGTACACCTGACCTTGTTTGCACCCACCAGTACCAAGCAGCACCACACTTACATGCGCAGAGAGCGCAGCGAGGGAAGCGAGACGAGGAGCAGTAATGCACAGCTCAATTCACTTGCACCCATCAGCACAGAGCAGCACCCATCGGAACCCAGCCGTGCCCAGCAGGTTCCACCAGCACCCATTAACACCGCACTTACTTGCAGAGAGCGCAGCGAGGGAAGCAAGGCGAGGGGCAGCAGCACAGAGGCTCGAGAGGCGTCGATGGGGGCGAGTGGGGAGAGTGGGAGCGGGTTGTGAGAGAGGTTGATATGGGCGAGGGCAGGGAGGAACGATGGGGAGAAGACCTGTAGAGTCAACGAATAGCAGAGAAGAAAATGTGGGAGAGGGGCAGGGATAAGGAAGAGGGAAACATGGGGACGGGTTTTGAGAGGAGTGAAAGCAAGCAGGCAAGGGAGGCAAATGGGGGCTGTTTGGGCAAGCGGTTGTTGTGAGTGAGAGGGCTGGGAGGAGTGTATAGAGGAGGAGATGACATTTAGAGAAGCAGGGAGAGTGGCAGGTACATGGGAAGGGGAATGGGAAGGTGAAGAGGAGGAATGGGAAGAGAGGGAGATAGCGGTGTGTCAACCCAATTCAACTCACATCAGCCCAAGTCAAACCTCGTCCGCCCTTATTTCCATGCTTTGAACCCGTCTCATCTCATCCCAATCAGTCACACCTCTTGCTTTAGCTCCACGATCCCCCGGTCAGACAAGTCAACTTCAGTCAACCGCGCCAGCTCAGCAGCCGCCACGTCATCGTCCAACGTGGCACGGTTAGGGCCCACCACGTCAGCAGCGAAGAGCAGCGCCCAGGTGGAATAGCGGCGGGTGAAGTGGCGGTTGAACAGCTCGAGATTGGGGAGAGACTCAAGGAGGGCGTTTCTCAGATCAGCAGCGGCGGACCTGCGGCGGCATGGGGGGACGCAAGGGACGGCGGGGTAGTGTAGTGTAGGAGAGGAAGAGGGAAGAAGGAGGCGAGTGGCAGCAGCAGTGTGAGTAGGTTCAGCTACTCAGGAGGGATCCAGGGAGAGCGTTTCTCAGAGCAGCAGCAGCGGACCTGTGAGTAAGAGCACGGGTGAGAGGACGGTGGAGGTGAGGAGGGGGGTCAGACGGAAGGAATGTAGCAGGGATGACATTGTGAGTGAGTGCAGCGCCCACATTGTATTGCGGCGGATGAAGGGGAGGATTCATTGGCAGGTGAATCGTTCTTGGGCGGGAGGGAGGAGAGTGTTTTTTAGTTTAGAGTAGGAGCAGCGGGCATGTTAGAGCATGCAGGAGAGGAGGGGAGAGAGGGTAGGAAGTGAGGAGGAGCAAATAAATCTCTCAGAACAGAGTGCATGGGCAGGCATGCAGGGAGCGCGAGGAGGGGGATGACCGGAGAACCTTTCTCTCTACGACCGCAACACGAGTCACGCATGTGAAAGCACTCCCATCTTACTCACTCGGTGGCAGCACACGGGTTGTCGTTGAGCCAGAGCGCATGCAGGGAGGTGAGAGGAGAGAGCAGGGAGGCCACTCGAGCAGCGTCCGTGAGGCGGTTACCCCAGAGGCTCAGACCCACCAGGTTCTGGTGGTGAGGGAGTTGGGAAGGGTGATACAGGGTAATAGTGTGAAGTGGAATTGCGACAATAGCGGGAAGATTATGACTATGTTAACGTGAGGATGTGACTTAGTCGCCCCAAAGGCTGATTCGTGAAACGTCTCAAAAAACGTCCGTCACGGAAACAGGAAAGTGCGAGCAAAGAGAGGGGAGCCGTTTGTCCAACACCACAGATAGGCAGGTTCAAGCTCCGACCTGGTCAGACCTGGTCTGCCTGCGGGCAGATAGGCTCGCAGGCGTTATTGTTGCCCCGCAGACCTAAGAGCGTGAGCTTTGCTAGGCCTGCTGCTGCTGCTGCTGCTGCTGCTGCTGCTGCCGCTGCTGCTGCTGCTGCCGCCGCCGCCGCCGCCACCGCCGCTGCTGCTGCTGCTGCTGCTGCCGCCGCCGCCGCCGCCGCCGCCGCCGCCGCTGCTGCTGCTGCTGCGGCTGCTGCCGCTGCTGCTGCTGCTGCTGCTGCTGCTGCCGCCGCCGCCGCCACCGCCGCCGCCGCTGCTGCTGCTGCTGCCGCCGCCGCCGCCGCCGCCGCCGCTGCTGCTGCTGCTGCTGCTGCTGCTGTTGCTGCTGCTGTTGCTGTTATGGTAGATTCGTCTTATATCCTCGATACTGAATTCTAACGATGAGGTGAGGATCAACGGAACTAGGTAGGTCAAGACAGAGACTTGACAGGTAGATGATTGTGCGACCGCGACAGTGGCAGCGGCAGCGACAGTGACCGACAACAGTGCAGGCTGACTGTAGTGCAAAAAGAACACAGAGCGACAAGCGACACTCTGTTGAAACAAAACCCCCTTCACTGTACCCTCTATAGGCAGCCTCGTTAGTGGGACTCACAGGGAAGCGCTCGTGCAGGTTCATAGCAGCAAGCATGGCATCATCAATCCCCTCCCCGTCCATCTCCAACCACTCCACACCGCTCTCCACCTGCCCCTCCGCCCCTCCCTCCGCCTCTCCACGTCCCGTTGTCCCATCTGTTCCCGGGATTCGTGCGTCCACAGCCGCCCGAACTGCCCGTGAGATGATTTCATCGACGGACTTTCCGCCCTTGCTTTCTTCCTCAGCCTTCTCTGCGCCTACAGTTTTCCCCTCTCCATTTCCTCCCACCTCCCCTTCCCCCTCCCCCTCCCCTTCCCCTTCACCCTCCCCCTCTTCCTCCCCCTCGTCCTCCCCCCCAACGCACATGAGAGCCGCCATCCGCGCCGCCAGCTTGGGGAGGTTCTCCAGCTGCGAGAAGAGTGGGGGGAGAGAAGTGGAGGAAGGGATGGGGGGAGTGGGTCAGAGGGAGAAGAAAAGGAGCAGCGGCGCATGAGAGCCGCCATCCGCGCCGCCAGCTTGGGGAGGCTCTCCAGCTGCGGCAGGAGGGGGAAGAATGAGGGGAAGGGATGGGGGAGAAGGGGGAGTGTGGGGGATTGTGTGATGCGGGGTCCCAGGGGGAAGGGGCGGGTGGATCAAGGCTCTCCAGCTGCGAGAGGAGGGGAGGAGAAGTGGGGGAAGGGATGGGGGGAAGAAGCTGGAATGTGTGGGGTCCCGGGTGAGGGGGGGGGGGGGGGGGAGGTATGCGCAGCATCACATGAGATCCGCCATCCGCGCTGCCATCCCTCCCCCCTGCTTTTCGAGAATTATCATATGTGATGTGACTCCCGCACGCTCCCCACTCCCCCCACAACACTCTTTCCCCACACGTGCCGGCTCGCGTTCATGCCCGCCTTCCCCCCCCGCTTCCCCCCCTCCCCTCCCCCCTCCACACTCCCCCCCCCCCAAGTCGTGCCTGCTCGCGCGCCTGGCCCAATCGGAACGACCACGCGTGGTCCACCAAAAACACGTCACCCTGCGCGTCCAATCCCTGCCCGCCAGGTGTCAGCACGACGCGCCTCTGCCGCCCGCCCTCCACCTCCTCGATCGCGAATCTGCTGCCCGCATCGAATCTTTCCGCCATGATCTTCTCGAACAGTCGCGGGTAGAGCTCGCGAGGTAACCCTGTCGCGAGTAACAACATTTCGTGAACTTTTACAAAGTCCTCTAGGGTTTGAATCCGTGGAGGCGGGGAATCCGCGGGCGGGGGCTCCGCCGCAGCGGCGGAGGCTTGCGCATCAGACGGCTGCGCGGGAGTGCTCCTTGGCGGAGCGGAGTCAGCCGCGGGCGCCATTTTGGGAAATCTTCCGGTGAACTGGTGCCACGTGGAGATTGATTCCGCGGAGGGGCTAACGAGAGGAACGAATGTCGCGGAAGGCCGTTGGCGAAACGCCGGATTCGACGGATGCAGGCGACGCGAAACTATTGAATGGATAAGGTTCCTGGCTTTCAAAATTGTGACACACTGAGGGGTTTTGGGGGCCAAGGAGGGTTCAGTATTGAGAAATTTGGCATTTGACACAAATTCGTGTTACCGTTTTCGTCTTCGTCGCCAGCTTCGCGACTTTCTCAAGGCGGGGGTGAGTTTGGTCCAGTTCAGTTCGTGGTGGCTTTGCACAGTGAAATGTGCAGCACGCCGCGACTACTAGAACCTTCCACAACGCGTATCGAGCTGATTATGTAACGCGGATTTCGGTTCACCACTCCGTTCCCTACACACACCCATCCTAACCCCTATCTTCCTCCCTCGCACACCTCTAGCCAACCAGTCAAGTCAAGACCGAGATTACCGCGAAGACCTCACCACCACAGCCACGCATGTTCTCGAGGGATCTTACCTAGCTAAAGGGAGTGCCTCATTTTCAGGCATCAGCGCAGCCAGCGCACATTACTCCTTCCTTTCCATTCCAGCCACTCTTCGCTACTCGCCGCGCCGATTACCGTCATCGCTAGCGGGACGCCTCAAGCCTTTTGCGGCTTCGCGGCATTGCTCACTGTCACCCTTCGTTACAGGTGCCCTCCTCCTCTTAACGCGCGCGCCCACCGTTCCCGTCAATTTTCTCCCCATCACTTCATTTTTGTTGATTCGCCTCAAATTCGCCTCAATATCTCCGTGGGAGGTACTAATCATTATCGCTTCATTTTTGTTGATTCTCCTCTTGCTGCACTCACCCACCACTCCCGCACTCACGGCGTCACCTGCTGTCCATCGCCGCTTCACTCCGGCCGTCTCACGTCCCGGGACCGTGACGTTCGCTTCGTCGCCGTGTTTGAGGCGTCTCAAAACTCTTCTCGCGTCCCGTTTCGCTTCGTCCCGCTTTTCAGTTGCCGCGACGATCCAATGCGGCTCGCCGCCGAATGAAATAAGCGTTGTTTTGAGGCGTCTCGAAGCAGCACTTTTATCACGTGGCTATTCTTTTTCAATCGCCGCCGCGACGATCCAATGCTCGCCGCCGCATGATGCGGCTTTCCCGTCCTTTCGTCTCTTCAAAACTCACCGTTTCTCGCGCAAATCTGCTTGTCGCTTCCAGAGTCCAGGCAGCTTACCGATGGACTGAAAGAGGGCAGTCATAACGGATGATGCTATATGGAACCCTTACGCCCGCTCTCCCCGCACTTCCGGTTCTCCCCGCACTTCCCGTTTTCCCCGCACTTCCCCGTTCTCCCCGTTCTCCCCGCTCTTCCCGCTCTCTCCGCTCTTCCCGCTCTCCCCGCTCTCCCCGCTCTCCCCGCTCTTCACACCGATTTCCGGCCGGGGCCCTCTCCAAAGTGCTTCGCTTCCATTCCGCCCACCACCACCCCTCCCTCCCCTCCTCCCCACCACACACCCGCACTCTCCATTCCTTCCGCTCTTTCCGCGTTTCCACGTCAGATCAATCAACACGAGCGTCACAACATCGTCCCCGTCCCTCCATCTCCCTTCCTTCCTTCCTCTTTCCCGTGTCAGGTTGCTGAAACGAACGATTGCAACGATCGCCACAATGAGGGCCTCGCTCCCTCCCACCTGTATGAAGAAGTGTTTTGAGACGTCTCAAAACCCTTTCTTCCTTCCTCTTTCCCGTGTCAGGTTGTTGGGACGAATGATTGCAACGATCGCCAGAGTGAGGGCCTCGCTCCCTCCCACCTGCCTCCTCCTCCTTCTCCTCCTCGCCATCGCCCTAACCACGCCTCTCCACACCACCACCGCCGCCGCCGCTACCGGTAAAGGCGAGTGCTGGCGGGAGAAAAAAGATCTGGAGGAGTGCAGAGCGGTGGAGAAGGTTGCGGCGGAGCGGAAGGAGGCGATGGAGATCAAGGCGAATGCGACGGAGGAGGCGGCGCACAAGGGGCGGGACAGGATGTTTGAGTGCAAGGAGAAGGTCGACCAGGACAAGGAGGCGTGGCACAACGAGAAGAGCGAAATCAGTAAGGCCTTCTCTTCCTGTCTTGAACTGGTTCTCAAATTTCCTCGTTATATGTGTCACACTGAATAAGGCGAATGAGACGGAGGAGGCGGCGCACAAGGGGCGCGGCACAATGTTTGGGTGCAAGGAGAAGGTTGATCAGGACAAGCAGGCATGGCACAACGAGAAGAGTGAGACCAGTATGTCACCCACAGGCCCCCACAGACCCACTCCCTATCTCCCCCACACTCCCCTCACCTGCATAACGACAAGGCTGAACTCAGTATGATTCTAACCCCTGCTCCTGCTTCTGCTCCTGCTCCTGCTCCCGCCCCCTTACAACATTTCACTTTTCTCCTCAAAGCCCCCTCTCCTCAAAGCTTCCCCTCATCCCCATAGCGAGATGCTGAACTCAGTCCGGACCTCACTCTTGCTGCACTATTCTGAGACGTCTCTGAAGGCGCCCCCCCTCTCCCCTATGCTTCCCCTTTCTTTGTAGCGAGATGCTGCACTCAGTTCGGACCTCACTCTTGCTGCACAATCACAATTGCATGTTTTCCCTCACTCCGCACAGTAACGCTAATTGTCTCCCTCACGGCCTTGCTATCTATGTGCAGGTTGCCTTGCTATCTCCCTCACACCATCTCCCTCACACGATCATCTCCATCACACCATCTCCCTCACACCATCTCCCTCGCACCATCTCCCTCCCACCATCTCCCTCACTCACACCCATGCTACCTGCCAGGTTGCTTGGGTTGCCATCTCACTCTCACAGCCTGTCCTGTAACCGTCCCCCGTCGCTATCATGCAGTAGCGATGCGTGCATGTTCTTTCTCCTTTGGCGTGGACAGCTGCATGCATCGCTACTGTTGAGTCGACTCAAAAGCCATCTCTCTCGCACCATCTCCCTCACTCACCCATGCTACCTGCCAATGCCAAGTTGCTTGGGTTGTCATCTCACAGCCCATCCTGTAACCCTCCTCCGTCCCTGTTTTTTAACCACCTCACAAATCGCCTCTCACATCACACCCATGCTACCTGCCAAGTTGCTTATGTAGTCATCTCGCAGCCGATCCTGTAACCCTCCCCCATCCCTATCATGCGTGCGCATTCTTTCTCCTCCCCGTCCCTCTCATGCGTGCGTTTTCTCTCTCCTCTGGCGTGGACAGCTGCACGCATCGCCACTCTGGACAAGAAGGCAAAGGAGCTGGAGGAACGGGTTAATGCCCTGGACAAAGAGTTGTAGAAATACACTCTTAATTTGCTGCATTCATACGAGCTGTGACAGACTTTGCAACGGAGAATGGTAGATTCACTAGTAATAATGGGTTTGATTGTCTGGCACAATGATGAGCTATCTTGCTTTGCTGGATTTAATCAGTGGTAGTGGATTGACAAGTGTTAATCACTCTATTCTCACATCATCCTACCCGAACCAGTAGGGAGGTGTTACCAAACCCGTAAGGAATGCTGCGGAAACTGAATGAATATTACTACAGGAAGGAGCTTGCAATAGTCCTTGTAAGGTACCATGATTATATATTGCTGGACAAAATTTCAAACAAATACAACAGCATGTAACGTATAAGAAATATCTTTGATTTTGCATGCGCTTAGATATCCTTCTGAGACTGATTATAGGCGCCTACATCAAAAGCTGCACGCGGGCTCAAGATAATTCCGACGTGGCAAATGTACTGGTTCTACAGTACCATCTTCGCGAATTACAATTGATGCCCAACCAGTGCACGCGGATTTGCCTTGCGCCGGATGGAAACGCTGCACCCGAGGTTGTTTCCCCAGCCTGTTGCTCCCACGCTATAAGCGTGTCGCGTGGTTATCAACCAATAGTTTCGAACAGACTGAGGTCAAGCAGAAGAGACTGAAGTCAAATAAGGTAACAGAACTTGGTTATAAGCACCTGCGAATCCTTTTTAGCTAGCTGCGAATTGACGAAAATTATGCGAAATGCTCGTTGCAGCTTTTACGCCCCCTTCACAAGGCAACCGGGAGGGGCTCAAACAGGCATCAATTGTACAGCGAATTTCGACCAGGCGCACTTCATATCTGCTTCGGATCAGGCGGAGATACACCTAACCACCGCTATTTTCAAGGGGAAACCCAGCCCACTAATCTCGCGTTTCAAAGTTACCCTGCACGTTTTCGACTATTTCAGTTCGAAACTTAGATGACTGGGGCTATGAATGACGCCTACTGCTCGAAGTTTAAACTCATTATGCGAATCTGAATCCATAGCGCCACTTCTACAGTACTCTCTTCGGGGATCTGGAACAGACTCTCGCTAAAATTTAATGATGCCCCACACAACCCTCGGTCACAGATTTAGAAAGGGTGCATACCCCACTTGTGCAAGTGGGGTTGAAAATAGACCGAAAGAAAATAGCGGTGGTTAGGTGTACCCTATTGATATGCCAAGCAACCCAATGGGGGCTTGCTCTGTCAAAAGCGAAAGCGAAGCTGTAACCAACACTCTCGCCACCGGCCCAGTTGACAACCCACGCGGGGCTCCTGGGGGGCGCTGGTGCGGACTAGCATCCCATGTTGGGATTTCGCCGGCTATCGCAGCCAACAGAAACCCTCAGTTGGTGATTCACGAGCAAGCAAGGAGCCTGCACATGCGGCATCAAGACACGCCGCCGAGCCTTGGAGCCACGTCAGGCCAAACGTGGCGCTCAACCGCATTCCCTTTGACGGACAAGGTTTGCCTGGGTTTGAGGTAAACCTCGAACGTGTCTGTGCACTTTTTGCACAAATACCGCGCGCCATTCTCACTTTCACTTATCCACCCAAGCAGCCCACAACACACATCCAAAGACACCCAACTCTCCAACACGTCATTTTTTCCCCGACGAACCCAATATGTTCAGAAATATACCAGTTTCTCAGCTAGAGACGATGGCGCCCAAAGAAGTGGATCACTCTCCGTTAGAACGGATGTTCGACCTCGAGACCACTTTTGAGTCTCGAAAGTCTGCTTCTTCCGGGTGCATTTTCGACCTGGAAACCATCCCAGAATTTCCTGATTCCGGTGACATGGACACTGCATTTGAAATGCTTTCTCAACCTCCCAGCCGCGGCCTTCCCCTGGACCGCTCGCGGCAGTATTAAATCCGGCGGAAGGAGCAGCAGGACGAGAGATAGAGATGAGGCGAAGGCGAGCAATGCGGCGGCCCAGCGCGCGGCGCGGAAGTAGCTGCTTACGGCGCTTATGGAGGCTCTCGCGGACTCAACGGACGACGCCATTACCGCCGCCGCCGCCGACGAGCCCGCCGCCGCCGACGAGCCTTCCTCACCCGACGAGCCTTCCTCACCCGACGAGCCTTCCTCACCCGACGAGCCTTCCTCACCCGACGAGCCTTCCTCACCGGAACCCCTTGCTGAGAGGGATTTCCTCTTTTCCGCGGCGCTAGCAGCATCAGTCGGTTCGCGGAAGCGCAAAGCGTCTAAAATCGAGGAGGTGCCCTCGGCGGCTGCACCTGTCGCGGGCGGAAGAGAGGGAGAGTTTGAGTCGGAGGTGACGCGCCAGCTGCGCCGTCCGATTGCTGATGTCATCCTCCGCGGCAGCGGGGCCGGCGGCGCTGCTTCTCCCGACGCTCCCGCGCCTCCCGCGGCTGCGCCGGCTACCACTCATGCCGCCAACCCTGCCAGCATGACGCTCGCGGGCCATGGCCCGCTGCAGATGCCCTTTCGTCTGCCCATCGCCAAGGGTGCAGCAGCTTCCACTGCACATGCGTCACTAGCAGGTATTCCCGTGCCAGAAGCAGCAGCTTGCATGAACTACTTTGACAATTCAGATTATAATATTGCGGGTTTTGGCGGAATTCCCACGCGTGGAGGCGGGGCGGCAGATGCAGCAGACGATTGGATGCCGCGCAACCGCGGGCGCAAGGACCGGCAGATGCATCGCGAAATTCCGAGGGAGCACAAATGTGGCACGGTAGCTTTTCCTGCGGAAAAGATTCGGAAAAGCTTCGGGAAACCTTCGGCGCGCTCATTTGGCCCCAAATGGCCAAAGTGACATTGCAGCAACAAATCTCAAGTGTCGCCAACGCAACTATGCAGTGACAACTGCGCCCTTAGTCAATTATTGGAAACATAATCCCGGCCATATCCCACGGCATTTCTCATGGTATTGGGTATTACTCTGTAATCGTAATCATAAATATCATGAAGTTGAGGCGCACCACATAGAGCTCCAAAATCCATCAATCGATCAGAGCAAACCTATTGAGTAGCAGCACTCTAGGATTGGTGAACGACTTGCACACGTGGATAATACGCTCGATCGATGCAACTTCAATTATCCCGTGCGTGGCCTCCTTCCGCCCAGGCACCAGCTGGGGGCAAAGTGTCTGTGGACACACTCCCTCCTCCTCGTAATACTTCACGAAAACGTATGCTCCCTCCTCCCCGCTGCCATTCACCGCCCTGAAAATACAGAGGCACCGCGCATACCACCACTCCTCCTCCTCCTCCTCCTCCTCCCTCTCTCCCGGGATTGCAATGTCGGTGAACCAGTTCTCATTCGGGCTTGCTTTTACGAACATCGCCTTTGGCACCAAGTACCCCCCTTTCGTGCTAGGGATGGCCACTGCGGTGTGCACCTGCCGTGCATGTGTGGGTTTGCACAAGGATCATAACATTGTATCGCGATACCTTGGATCATATGCGTCCCCCACTCACAATGCACTAACCTGATTTACAACTAAATCCACCTGCCCAACTTAACAGCAAAACACGGTATCTCACCAACACACGTGTAGTCTGCAGGCCTTCCGCGGCCATTAGTGTCGCCATGTTGTCGAACTCGCTCCCCACCGTCTCCCTGTACAGCTTGCGCATTGGATCGTCGTCCGTCATGAGACACATGGCCTTGCTGGTGCGGGTCAGCGCGGGCTTCATGCTGCGCACAGCCTGTGTGGTGGATCGTGAGCACGGATGGGAGGAAATGGCGGCGTAATTAGTTCCTGACAAGACATAAACCTGTGAGTCTTTTACAAACGCCACCTACACTTCTCATCGACGCGTGATGTACCTCTCGCAATGCGGTGTAGTATGTTCTCCCACCACCCGACAGGGCTGCAATCTCCCTTGTGATCTCGCGCTGTGTCTCCTCCTCCACAATCCTCCTTGGGATGTCTTTCCAATTGCTTCCGCGCACGGGGCCTTTCACTGTGCCCTTGTGGGTGTGCTCCCACAGCTCCGTCGAATACTCATGCGGCAACCCCCTCATGGATATGCCGTCGATGAGGTGCACTACTTCGTGGAGCTTCACAAAGTTCCACTTCGACTTCTGCTTCGGGAAAGCCACCTGCAGTGCAGCAACCAGCCTACACGAACGTGTAGACACATCGTACTGAGCGCATTCTTCCAGCAGCACATATGCGGAACAACGCATGTTTTAGTACAAATCCTGCGTCCAGCAAGTACACTCACGAGATTCCATGTTGCCTTGCGATAGCGAGGGTCAGTCGCGTGTGCTTGGTCACGGCCAGCAGGGACTTATAGAAGACCGCATAGTAGCGGAAGGCACGAACCTCTTTGTCCCTCTGATCCCGTTCCTCCGCAGAGCGCCCCACGCACAGGTCCGAAATGATAATCGGGAAAACCTGCATCATGCCACGATACTCGAAAGCTGCGTAATTCGCCCCGCTGCGGAAAAAGGTGGAGCCACCCGGGATGCGCACCAGGACACTCCTTGTGTCGCCTTTCACTCCAAACTTGTGGCTGTATCAGTCACCAAGCACCCATAGGCAACGAAATGCAAAAGTTCCCCTGGTGAGATCCGCCCCGGGCATAGTGCCGCATACAAAACACTGCACAGTGGCTCCCAATACTCACTGATCAAACCCTCGTATCTCGGCCTTCGTCTTCCCCTCCATGAAACAGGTGGCCATATGCACGAGCACCCCGGAATCCAGCACATGCAAAATGTCGCCAACCACCGCCAGGAAAACGTTACCCCACTTCGTCTCAGAGAAGTTCCAGCGCTCCAGAACGCTCTGCACATTCCAGGGCGATGTCAGACTGATCGTAACGGACACCAATACGCCTGAAGGATCCTTTGCCTACAAGATGCCTCAACAATCATGTGCCTACAAGATGCCATGTGACTTGCACACGTGAACACATTGCCCGCACCGTGATGGGATGTGTAGACCACCTGGCCTGGACCGCTGCGGCTTCGTCCACCGTCTTTGCGCTCAGTATCAAAGCCGCCGCGTGCCGCTCTCTCTTCACCGTGCGCACTATGTACTCGTTGGACAGGTCATGGAGGTGCGCCCTCTTGATGTAGCAGCTCGAGCACGGTCTGTGCGAAGCCTGCTGCATCGTTGCTGTGGCTCGGCACCCTTCCGGATAGTCGCCGACGAATGCATATAGGCATGGATATGCCTTCACCACACCTCCGCGCCCGTCTGACACATCGAAGGATCGAAGCGGACCCCTGCATGCACAATGTAAAGGTTTGATGGCTTTCAAGCGCCGACCACGGACCCCATCGCCGCCAACGGCCTGCATAATGCATTCAGACCACTTACTCGCGGCTCTCTCGCATCAACGGACCCATCAAAATGCGATACGCCTCCTGATACACCCGATTCTTCTCCGTCGCCGATGCTCACTCTGGCGGAAAAGGGAGCACACCGAGTAGAGCGTGCCCTGGCTCACGCCATCGTAATTCCTCCGAGACATTGACCAACCCCATCAGCATTGGCCATGCCTGTAGGCGTCCGTTCCCCGACGCGTAGGTGCTGTCGCTGTACGAGATGACACCCAGCACCATTGAATCCTCCTCCGGCAGTTCCGCCTGACAACGACACAACGTGACCCAGTAGGTCAGACCAACTCACACCGTCGGCCCATGTGACGCTTGGGAACATGTGCATCTACTTGCCTGCGCCTCTTCCAGCCAAGTCCCCGTGTCGGGCGTACTGAAATGTGTCGTCTCTGTTGTATCCTCCGGATCTCGCCGCGGCCTTTTGACAAATCCCCTGACATTCACAAATGTATTCACCATCTTCTGCACTATCTGTCCACATAGAGGCGGCAAGACCATTTCTTGAGTCAGTACATAAGCAGACAGAGACCCGCCGGTTCGTTACTGCACCCATAATCAATCGCCCACCAGCTTGGTGTCCTTGTACAGCAGTTCCAGCATCTGAGACCTTCATCCGGGCCCCCGCACCTCAATCTCTGCCTTGAGCCACGGCACCATGTCGTCGGGCGCGTGTTCGTCCCCATACCGCCTCACGTCCGCGACGTTCTGCCAGCGACGAACCGCTGCAGGATCGTATCCCGGGTGGTTGAATATGTGCAACACTCTATTTATTTCTCTGTCCGATAAATCAGCGTCCTTAAAGAACAAGTACAGCTCGTTCAGTGTATTGAACAGCTCGCTAACTGTGGAAACCGATCCATCGTCCGACGACGTCACATACCCGCGCACAAAGTCCGCGCGCTCAGGGGACTCTCTCAGATATCGGAACAGCGAGTCCGCGGAGGTGGGGCTACCCAGGACAGACTCACTGTCCGAATGATGCGGGCTACTTCTGACCGCGGCCAGAGCCTCCGCCAACGCCTCCACCGCCCTACTCTCTAACCTCTCGAGCAGCGTGTCCCTACACGAGTCATTTCGATACAGATGGATCCTCAGCAAGTTGTCTGAGTCCAACTCCTGAGTCCAACTCCTGCCATATTACCTAATCTACGCAACCCCCCCTCCCCAAGGGCCGTACACTGCCTTCCCCGCTAGTCCCCCCTTGCCTACCGAACGGTCATGCATGATCTACACTACACGCAGTATCACCTATGCGCTCTTTGAGCCACTCACAACCTGCATATAGCCACCGAAAGCGCGGACTCTACTTCTCGCGCACCGCCGAGCGTCCTATTATTCCGCTTACCATTAAGGCACCCGGGATCATCTATATACCTTCTACGTCACCCCACTATCACCGGTTGTATACTGGCGGGTAGACGACATCGTGCATGCACGATTGGCGGACAGTCTGCCAGGTCGGCCTTATCCGTAACGAGAAACCCTAACCGGCTCAAATGTCTGCGGTAAAAAAACCCGCCGTTAAGTGTCCTGTTGCCGCTTTCGGGGTCTGTGGTTACACCACTGGGGGTATATACTCGTTACAGCAAAGCAACGGGCATCAATGCTACCACTTCTGATGTATTTGATGCGCAATCTCGCTACATTAAAACGCATAAAAGGCAAATTCGAACGACTAATGCTAACTCATATTAAAAATCGCCCTGGTCTCCTCCCACCACTGCAGGCACATAGAGTCGCAAGAGCATAGTACTACTCGGGTACACATCCATGTTCTCCAGAACTCTAGACTTCCCAAGTACGGCAACCTTCTCCATATTGCCACGCCTGAGTGATCTTATCAGTAAAGGCTAAAACAGTGTTCACGCCTACTACGACGTGACCTCATAAGCCGATCAAGCACATGTAACAGGAGCAACGCTCCATCGACATTGTCGGTCCTAGTAGAATCTGTCATAATGGATCAACGACAACTTGTGAGGCAATGTGAAGCATCAGCCACGCCAAAAAAACGTGACACCCCCTACCTTCTGAGTCCACGACGTGCGTACGCCTGCGCCTCACGCGGCGCCACCCATACTCGTGGGTACTTTCCTCCGGGCATGTACGCAATGCGCACAGCGCAAGTTTAAAAACGTGCAGCAGGGGTCCCAACAATTGCAGCATGCAGTCGAGCAATTTGTGTTGTTTGTTACGCACCTGTGTGTGACTGGACGTGCATCGTAGGAGTTGCGGCGCTAGACACGCAAGCAGCCGGAGCCCCGTCCGCGGAACTCGATCGGGCGTAGTTTGGAGGGTCGGACCCATCCGTCTCAACGGGCACATTATTCGCGTCGTCTCTGTTGCCCCCGAAGAAAAAGTTGAAGAGATCATTCACGCGGGTGGAACCTTCTCGTGCATCGACCGGGGGATCTCCGCTCTCCGCACCCGCGGCTATTTCCTCACCCCGCTCCGTTTCCGGGCTACAAGGGGGAGAATGTGCAGCATTTACATTCCCCCCCGCTGATATGTTGGTATTTCCGTTCTTCTCAGGACCCGTAGCTAGCTGTTTAGCCCCCGCGACACCCTCCCCCGTTTGGTTATCAGAGGAGTGTACCTTTTGCTGTCGGCCAGTTACCGAGTGTGGCTCCGGTGTTACAGTCACCAGGACGGTTTTATCCCGACTAATATCCGCAACAGCTCCTATATCACCACACGCTGGCGGAGCCTGCATGCGCGTGCCATCGCGATCAACGGTACTACTGAGTAGCTTGTGGATATGCCGCTCCACTTCCTTAGTGTCGTTGCTTCTAGGGGAAGCCATACAGGGCATTAGGTTAGGGTTTGACGGAATGGCTACACAGTGCAAAACATGACCCATTGTATTTGCCTCCCAAGCACCGAGGCCACGTCGGAAGCCATATCCATCCCCGATAACGATTGGACAACTCTCGCTGTTTGTACATGTACACTCGATTTGATTAGGGTGTATGCAGAACAACGTGTAATATGAACTTAGTGAATATTACATGTCCAAAACAAAACTCCAAGCGCGGTGCACTTGCTACAGCAAGGCTCCATCTAACAACGGCAAAAAATCTAAAGTTTAGGACTGATAATAAACCAACTCCATAGCAACCCAAGCCCACGTGCCGGTAATCACATTGCGCCATTCTACCAATTAAAGTGGGCCTTCACGAGGCGAACAAAGCCAGAATCTACATGCTTGGATGAAGTGCATGTCATAAACTCCCCCCGGGTGGGCTTCGTAGATACACTGGACCACCACGGGAGCATCCCGAGCGCTCGACTAAGATCCCCAATGCGCACTCCTTCATCCTTTTCCTTCCACGCTGTGAGCCCGTGCACCTGCAAAATGCTTCATCAAGGTTTAGAGGTGGACGGGCTGGCACCACAACACCTTCGGCCGGCTGCGGATTCGGAATGGCAACGCTATATCATGCTTACACTGGAAGAGGTGCCACCACCCATGTAAATGTCTCGTGGGCGATTAGCCGAAAGTCTAGACCCATCGGACCTTCGTCTCTCCTCCTGCACACTAGAAGAACAGGCCCTACCAGTCATTGGCCATCTGGAAAAGAAACACGTCTGCACACCAATGATCCTCACCTCATGTCCCATCGCCCTCGCCTCGGCCATTAGAACGGCTTTGTAGTCAAATGACGGTAACCCCTGCAGTATGGCATCTTCGAGGCTTGTTGCACGGTGGTTTACGAGTCTGTACTCAGCTATTGACGTCATGAGCCGCCGACCTTTGGCACGTGTAATGCTCGACTCCGACTCGTCCGGATACGTGTCGTAAACTAGTGGGTGGGTGCATGAACGGTGTGGGTGTATCGGGTGATATGGCAAGGGACGCACGGGCTTCTATAATCGCCCGCGCCCAGTGCTGTCTAGGACTGCGCCATCCACTACCGAGGAAGGGGTCCAGCGCACTCAGAATGGTGGATGCGTGCAGGGTCTCACCTCGTTGACTGAGTATGGCACCATGCACCTGCATTATGGCATATGCTATCGCAGGCTTTGATCGTATGAAATGACTCCGTGTGTTGTGAATCAAGAAAAACAGGAATGAAATGACTAAGTGAAAGTTGGGTACAAAAGGCAAACCCTAGGAAACTGTACCCCATATGTGCTACCCCACTATAGCCTACAGTAGCTATGTCAAATAACTCTGACATGTGTTGCGCCGTCGAGGCTCCAGCACGTCGCGCGATTTTGAGCGCGTGGAACTCATCCTACCACCACCAACAAAACTCTGTACTGAGCACAAATGCGCTAGGGTTTGAGGCGTGCAGTTTGTTAGCGTGGGCATCTGTCTTGCGGGACCGTGAGGACGATCTGTTGTTTCGATATGAATCGGTGTGGTAAGGTTCTTTCAGAGTTGGCACGGAACATGGTCCTCTTGGTGGACATAACACTAACCGTATGAATACATCACGCATTTAAACGACTGTGCCATATCGGGTATCACAGGATCTCGCGCAGGCTCAGAGAGAGCGTGGAAATCCCTACGTCCCCAAGTTAAGCAATTTCGATACTGACAAACCCGGTAGGTCAAATTGATGCTTACATAACAAGAGTTACGGCTACTGATCTCAATATCATCATCTCTCACAAAATCCCATACTCAATATCCTCATGAACGCTACACAGGGATGTCGAAGGGGACTGGAAGCATATCTCCTCGCTGGCCGTTGGAGACATGGACGGCGAAGGCGCGTAGGACTGTCTCCGCACCTTCTTCTCTGGTGTGCGCACCAGGCGGTCCACAAGGTCCTGGTTCCCCAGGCGCTTAAGCGTGACAACGTCACGCGGAGCAACTCCCTTCGCGCTGGCAAGACTGGTGTACGCAGAGGAGGCCATACGCATGAACCTGCGGCGAGTCCTGTCGTCCCACGAGACGCGGCCGTCACTGGTTGTATCATTCACCTGACCGATGACCGGCTCATGAAGGCGTTCGGCAGTAACGTCGTCCACCTCGTCATCCCATGTCGCATATTCCATCGCTGCCAGCACGCAGTCGGGGAGGTCCAACTTGTCCAGCTTCCTCTGCAGGCCCATGAGGCTAGCAACGAGTTGCTCCACAACCTCGACATGCATGTCGCTGTTGATCGCGTGAAGCTGAGACGGCCACTCGTCCGGGACGCACCTGGTGCGCCAAAACGTTAGCTGTATGTGGGATGTCGCCACTCCCCAAAGCGCTTCGTACGTCCACTGCAATGTCTTCGCGGCCGAAGGAGAGTTACTCCTCCACATCCATGCTGGAGGCACGCGCGTCATGAAGCGCGTCTGGTCGTCCACCCACATCGAACGGAATTCAGACTTAAAGAACGCGACAATGCCCTGCACCACTGGGTTCCCTACGTCCGGAACAACATCATGAAGCTGCACAATGCGAGTATGGGTTAGGTGGTGCACCATGAACGGCCCATTCGTCTGCAGCTTGCCCTCTCCCCAAGTGAGCCTGTGCCTACGCAAGGACACAAGGACGACGATGTCACGGTCCTCGGCCAATTTCGCAGCGTTGAGTCCAAGCATGAACTGTGTGAACAGCTGCACTGAACAAAAAATAGTATCACAGAGACATATATTAGGAACCAACTACACGAGTCCATATGTCGGAGACATTTTTGTTTGTCATATACACGGGCATTACCTCGGGGGTTATGCGGCCGGACCGAGTACGGCGGATGTACGCCCACTCGTCGCCATTCACATCGGAGCCCAGTCGCATTGGCTCTCGATCCCGGCTCACAACAATGGGCCTGAAGCGTTGTGCGCCGTCGGCGGAATAGAGCAGGCCGACAGACAACCTCTTCAGCTCTGTTACAATGCGCCCGTCGAACGGATGCAGGTATGGCTGCAGCGCAGGGCAGAAAGATGCTTCTACAAAGATATAGACGTCACTGGGAGGTGCTCCCAGCTGCGTCAATAGACCCTTTAGAGCCGCCATGGCAGTGAAATGGCGTCCGAGGCCTCGAGCGGCATATGATATACCCGTTAGAGTTGGCGGGTACAGCGTCCAATGCCTCTACTATTTGACAAGACGTGAGTCGAGGTTCTGTAAGCATCAGCGCCCGCGCGGCACAGGTTTTCTTTAGCTGCCCAGCGTGGATTGGCCACAAAAACACAGGATTGCGCAACGACGTGGGTACATCTTATAGGACATACGATCTGTGCGCGGTAATAACCATATGTTATTGCCCGGAAAGCTCATATGTTAGTGACTTCTCCGTCCCCTGTATAGGTATCCTCGCGCCTGTGTGCATTCATGAGTATGTCGGTAGACGAGTGTAAACCCAGTAGATTGCGCAGACACTCCATAATAAGAAAACACAAATTGCGAGCACAACAATATACGTCACGTTATTTGGATGCTGGTCACCGTATTGTCACGTTGTTATTCGATAAGTTATATATATGCGAGTCGTGACGATCGCGTTATTAATACAGCGAGAGGTAGTTGGATCTGTAACAACATCGATATTCGCATTTCAATGTATTATTAACGGGATATATGTCGGCCCGTTATGAGCGGCACCATTGAGAAACATCAACCTTTCGGATGGTCCCAAGTTTGCATGCTGACGATGGTACAGTATCCTCGGCTTGTCACAGGCACGTGACAAGTGTCAATTTCACCTGCAATCAGCTGCCAATGACGAACCGCCATGGTGGAATCCACATTCTAGATCGGCGAGCTGTGCAGGGGTCAACATCAACTCTCGCGGATCCGAGAATTGTTACCCTTTGTGCCTGGTTGAGCCTATAAGGGTTTCTGTCGCCAGATAGCCCGACGGCTAGTCTCTCCCATCAGTAGGGTTTCGGCCTTTCCCAGCAACTCTGACTGTCCATGGTACCACGAACCAAAGCGCAGGCCGCTACACGCGGAGGCATTAGGACGGAAGCCATGCCGACGCGTAGGCAATCTGCAGGAGCGCGGCGGGATAACACAACGATCCCGGAATCGCTGAGCAACAAGCGGATGCACTCGCGTGAAGCCCAGCAGGGGAACCCGAATAAGGAGAACGCATCTCCGGCATCTGTTTCCGCATGGGGCTCGCGGCTGCCCGGCGCCAAGGAGGAGCCTGCGCCGAATGACGCGCTGACAGCTCTATTGACCGCACCATCGTCATCGAATTTCAAGACGGTGTCTCTGTATAACCACATGGGCGTGGGCTGTCAGGTGAACGCGCATGACGCCGTGGCGCTCGCCGACAAGAAATGCCTAAACGACGCGGTCGTCGACTTCCACAACATGTACGTTTTTTTATGACGGCACTCCTACAGGCTGGCATGCGGCGTCACGGTATGCCGATTTTAACGTTGACTAATTCATCGTGCGTTGTTCCTCCGCACCCTTGCAGCCTCTTGAACATCAGGTACCCGAGATGCCCGAATGGGAAATCATGGGTGGTCCTGGACAGCAAGGCGTTTGTGTATGCACAGCTTCACGGCAAGCCGATCGGGAGATGCACGGGCCCATCCGTCTTCGAGTACGACTACATCGCCGTCCCCATTTTTGCCGGGTACGTACGTCTTTCACCCGGCAGTTTAATACGTCCATATGACGGCCCCGCCTAACTATGTATAGTGGATCGTGCAGGAGCCACTATTCTTTGATGGTGGAAACCAACCCGAGCGAAATTGTAACCCCGACTGCCGCTCCTGTGGAATTCATTCATTTCGACAGTGAGGGCCTCCACACCAAGACGACAGATGCCTTCGACGGGACTAAAGCGTGGGTTGCGTTAAATACCAGGGTGCAACACGTTCATTGGTACTCTTCTTGCAGCCGAATATGACTGGGTGGCCATGTGCTCTTGCAGGTTACTGCACCTCATGTGCCGACGCGATCATCCGGAGGTGGACCCAGAGGCGGCTAGGCAGGCGCTTATCAAAGCCACAACGTTGACCATGGAGGTGAGTCCCTGGATCGACGTTGGCTCCAGCTGTTCCAACTTGTTGCTATTACAGTACCTTATTCTGATGAATTCGATCTTCGTGACTGATGTGTGCGCAAGGTCACCAGATCCCCAAACAACCTAACAGCTGGGACTGCGGGGTGTACATGTGCCAGTATCTCGAAGCTCTGGTTACATCTGGGTTCGTAACCGTGCGTGAGTACATATCGTTTAAGGGAGTGAGCGCGGAGAGGTACCGCCACAAGATGCGTGCAGACCTTTGTTCTCATGCAGAGGGAACGCTGATACCCGAGCTGCAGCGCCAGGGTCTCCGCATCCCTCTGCAGCCCGTTCCCGTTATCGACGACAACGGGTACATGTGCGTCGACCCACTTGTGGACGTTCGAAGAGAGCTACTTGACCACAAACAGAAGTTCGTTGTGCTGGAGCATGACATACAGGTTCTTACGGCCAAGATCGAGTTTCTGGCCATCAGCAAAGGCGTGACGTCGGACGAGTTAGACGCGGGAGCGCGCCAACACCTCGGTGCCGTAGCCGAGACGGTGGTGCCGTCGGCGACTCCACGGAAGCAGGCCACAGACGGAAGTGGCCAGATAGAGAGCGCGAGGACTCCTCAGCCGCGTGCACCGGCGGCAGTGCCTGCAATCTCTCCCTGCCCTGCACCGCGCACACCTGCCATGAAAGATGGCCATGTAGCTGCTGGCGTAGCGACACCTGCTGTGGTCTGGCAACAAGAGCGCGGCCAGCTTGCACTGGCCTTGCGCAGCCGCGCCTCGACTCCCGTGCCTGCCGCGGCAGGTAACCCCGGAAGGGCCGCAAGCAGCGGACGGACGGGAGTCATGTGTAACGCAGTGAAGCAGAGGTACTACGTGCGGATCATATCTGCTCGCCGGCAGCAGGTTCGTCTGGGGTCGTACGAGGACAAGGACGAGGCAATCTTACGCGTATGCTGCGGGGGCCGTTGTCCTTCGCCCTAACTCCCGCATCAGCTGCACGGTGCAGCTGTCCGACGGGGAGAGGCAGGCGCTAGCCGGCTGCACCGAGGAGAGTCTAAGGCTTCTCGTGAAGTACAGGCGCTGGAACAGATGGAGGGAGTGGAGAGCCGCCTTGGAGGGTCTGGATGATGCCCAGGCGCCCGAGGCCCGTTCGCGGCGAAAGGGCAGAGTCCCCCGGGTCATGCATGACGTTGAGGAGGTGGAGGCGACCACGCCCGCTACGGAGGACCAGCCTATGGCTCTTGAACCTGAGGACCCACCAGAGGATTACACAGATGACGAGGCGTCTGTTGACGATGATGCTGTGTATGAACCAGAGGGCGATGCCATGGAGGATGAGGATGACTGGGAGGAGGTCAACAAGGAGGACACTGCTGCATGAAGGGTTGAATAGGGAAGCCATTGGACCAAGAGATGTTTTGGATTAGTGCTGACCTTGTCAGGGCTGAGTACGGGTGCATGTTAGATTGGCGTGGTTTGGAAGTTGCTGAATGTAATAGGACACATGTAGTATATGGAAGCACAATTTGGGCAAGTGGCACTGCAGCAGTTTGTAATTGAATGTATGTTGTCAGACGCAGATGTCGCAAGTGTTGAAATGATGCTGTGGGTTTGTGGTGTATCGTGTCTAACATAGACGAGGACGAGCACAGAGCGTCACGATTGTGCCACGACGACATTTTCCAGGTGCAAAGTGTGGCCGATATTGAAAGGTAATCCACATGGCCACTCCAACCGTGACATGTGTACATGTGTGCGCGTGGACAATACGTTGGGCCAAAATATGTGGCCTGCAAACCCACTAGCAGGCATCGCGATATCATCGAGGGCGGTGATGGGCCTAGTGCGATAGTGAGTAGAACCCCAAGCGGGTTTCCAACTACGCCATTTCGAGCCCGCGGTGTAGGTGGTCTTTGATTCTGTCTCCGCTGGAGGTCGAGATGAGTCCTAACCCAGAGGGCGGTCGTTCCAAGCGGAAGAAAAATGCGCCGTCATGGTTGGCGGATGCATACCAATACCCAGAGAGGAAGAAGAAAGGGGGACGCGTACAGGAGCCCAAGCGGCGCAAGACCAGCACTGTAAAGAGTGGCAAGGAGGATAAGGAGGCGTTGCATAACGAAGGTAGCACTTGGGCTACGTGACAATTATATTGCCTTTGATGTTGACGTGATAATGGATGACACTGGTGAGTGAGGCCGTATGTGCACACAAACCTAACACCGTACTACATTCCACACCCACTGTCCCAGAGACTCAAGAACTGCCGCTGCAGATATGCAACGCCAATGTTGTCGGGGCCGTCGACGCGGAGGCAGCCTCAACGCCCATTGTCGGGAGCGCACCCCCTGTGGAGGACGACACCGAGGCCGTGAAGGAACGCTTGATGGACGAGTTAATGGAAGGCGAAGAGGAGGGCGACGAGGACGGGCACGCTTGTGGTCAGTCGTCAAGCAACAACCCGTGTGGCGAAGACGGATCAGAGGAAGAGCACGCCCCGAAAGTGCCATCTTCGAGGAAGCGGAAAGAAGCAACCGGTGGCCACGTCACACGCGAGGAGTTTGAGGAGTTGCGTGAGTCACAGAAGGGTACCGCGAAGACAATGGCTCGTCTGGAGTCACACGTTTAAACCATCATTGCCCTTGGCGAGGGGCGCAAGCGCAAGCGGGCTTCTTCGGCTGCGGCAGCCTCGCTTGCCAGGGAAGCTCTGAAGCAGAAACGCCAGTCAGATGATGACGAGGAATCCACGTGCGATGAAGACGAGTTGCCGTCGAAATTGGCGAGGCATATGACTACCGACAAGTCGCCAGTGCTCCAAAGCGCCCTTGATATCCTTCCCGCAGAGAAGGCTTGGAAGGTGAGGCTTCGCATAGTGTGTTCTGGTAACCTCATGGGAGGGTACTCGACAGCAATACAGATGTCGTCACCGTATTCCGCCCCCCCGCAACACTATTTTCATTGTTGCAGTGTGTTTGCGACCTGGTAAAGGATCATCTGTTTCTAGAAGCCCCGAACGAGAATATGGACTTCTATCCGAGCCGCGACGCCAAGAACGTCGGCGTCTGCCATGTCATGTCCACCATTCCTCCCAAAACTGCGACACTGGCGTTACACGCGGATAAGTCTCGAAGACAGGATCTGAACAAGACTTGTCAGAGTACAAAACAGGGTTGGCGCGCTCGGGGAGTTTTTCTTCCCCGGATGGGTCTCTTCCGTGACGACGAGGACCGAGCCAGTCCTTGGGCTCGTAAGAAGGAGCGCACTGGGGAGCATGCCCGAAAAAGATATGGCGTTCCCGCCACGGACGATGGTGCGTGTACGCATGTCATATGGCCGGTGCATTTAAGGCCGGCATGAGTTTCATGCCATAGTGGACCACTGCGGCCATTGAACCCTCTCCGACCCCCATGCACGGCATCATTGTACCCATATTTTATTCCACGTGCGCAGCGGAACCTGCCTTGTGCAATTGGCACATCAGCAAGGAAGGCCTGCCCTTTGCTTCCGGAGCGTTCTCGGCATGTGCCATCGCGGCGTTCGGAGGGAAGCGTTCCGACAAAGAAACAACTCTGAAGCTGTACCACATGTCGTGGCTCGAGCACCTGGTACGTTTACACCATTGTGTGAAGAAATGAGGAATGGATGAACTAGGAAATGAGTTGGGTACAAATATGAAACCCTAGAAAGCTGTACCCCATACTGTCTACCCCACTACAGCCTAGAAAGACTATAGCATATAAGTTCGACACACCCCCACACGCCAGCAGCACCCCCAGCTCCAGCAGCGCCAGCTCCAGTACCCTCAGAGGCACCAGCACCAGAGGCACCCTCAGCGCCAACACCCCGAGCAGCTCCAGCTCCAGCCGGACCACCAGAAGACGCAGCGGGTCCAGCTCCAGCACCCTCAGTAGCACCGACGCCCGCAGCACCACCAGCTCCAGTACGAGAAGCACCCGCAGGCCCAGCAGCTCCAGTACTCCCAGTACGAGCACCTCCGGGACCCGCGGCACCAGCACCCTCAGCACCTCCAGCTCCAGCAGCTCGCCTCCAGCGCCGGGCAAACCACTCACGCAGCTCCTGTGGAGAGAGTAGCTCCCGCCGGGACGAATTACCCGAAGAACCTCCAGGCCCAGCACCGCCAGACGCCACACGAGCAGGTCCAGTACCCTCAGACTCCGCACCCCCAGACGCAGCACCCCCAGGCTCAGCACCCCCAAGCGCAGCACCCCCAGGCGTAGCACCCCCAGGCTCAGCACCCCCAGGCGCAGCACCCCCAGAGTCAGCACCCCCAGGCTCAGCACCCCCAGAGTCAGCACCCCCAGACCCAGCACCCGCAGGCTCAGCACCCCTAGAAGCACCAGAGTCAACAGCTACCTCGACAGGGTCGACTGCGTCTACCTGAGACACACCTGAGGGGGCAGGACCCTGAGGGGGGAGGGGGTCTACCGGAGGGGGACCTGGCGTAAGGAAGAGCGGCGGGGGGGGGAGGGACGCAGTGCGGTAGGGGAAGAGACGGTAGTAGGGAACCGACTCGTCAAACGTGACGTCCTGGGAGGACAGAACACGGCGCGAGGTGGGGTGGTAGAACTGCCAGCCCGGCGCGTCAGGGGGGAAGCCAAGGAAGACGCAGGGAACAGCACGAGGGGACAGTTTGTCCGCAGACAAGTCGCGGACAAACGCCCGAGATCCCCAGACACGGAACGCAGACGCATCGCCAACCTTCCCCGTCCACAGCAAAGCAGGGGAGGTCTCCGGCATGGAGACCCGGGGCTGAAGGTTGATCTGATGCGCCGCGTACCGAACCGCAAACGGCCACAGAAAATGGGGGGCAGCCGCATGGACCATGGACGTACGAGCGACGTCCATGACCATGCCAATGCGGCGCTCAGCAATCCCATTTTGCTGCGGAGAGTCCGGAAGCGTGAAGGTCTGGCGGATGCCTCGTGCACGACAGAAGGCTCGCAGAAGGTCAGAGGAGAACTCTCCGCCTCTGTCAGAGTGCAGACGCAGAACAGGAAAGTCCGAGCCGAAACTCTTTCTGAGCTGGAGACGAGCTGCGCGGATCCAGGAGATCAACACCTCAGTGACCTCACCCTTGCTGTGCAAGGGGAAGACCGCGGTGTAACGCGAGTAGTCATCAACCACCAGCAGGAAGTAACGCTCGTGACCCTGTCCACGGACGCGGGCTGGGCCCCACACGTCCATGTGAAGCGTCTGCAGTGGAGCCTCTGTCGGAGGAAACTCGTAGGAGTGAGGAGCAGCGCGCTGCCGTCCCTCGACGCAGGGAACGCAGGTGGGGGCAGGCCCCGGAGGAAGGGGAGGGAGGGACCGGGGGAGACCAGAGACAAGGACACGGGAGGCCATGCCTCGAAGACGAGGCAGGGAGGGGTGACCAAGGCGGTGGTGCCAGAGGAGAGTCTGGTGAGACAGGAGACGACACGAGCAGGGGGCAGACTCCGGACCAGACCTGGACGCCGCAGCACACACCTGACCCGACGCGGCTACCTGAGCAGACTCAGCGACCGGAGGAGACTCAGTAGTCAGTGTGTACAGGCTCGACCCCGGCTGACGGGTAAACGTGGCCAAGTGACAGCCCGTCCGAGCACAGGTACAGTGGGTCACTCGCTGACTCGCAGGAGTGAACTGGTGAACCCCTCCATCCTGGAGGTCAGCACCACTCACCAAGTTCGTAGAGAACAAGGGGAGGTAAAGACCCGAAAGGGTGCCAGAAGGGGCCGCCGGACACGGTAGAACAGTGGAGAAGTGGGCAAGGACAGGGCCCCCAGAGGGGTCTGCCAGGGAGACTGCCACTGGCCGACTAAGCGGCGTAAGCGTGGTGCGGTCTCGAAAGAAGGAGCGGGAAGCACCCGAGTCAAGGGTGAAGGTGTGGGTGCCCGGAGCCGACGCGGTACCTGAGAGCGCAGACTCACCAGCACCTGGGGCAGCAGACTCACCAGCACCTGGAGCAGCAGACGCACTAGCACCTAGAGCAGCAGCCTGAGCAGCACCTAGAGCAGCAGTCTCAATGCCCGGGTCAGGTGGAAAACACCGGTAACAGTCACCCTCATCACTAATAGTCACGGTATACATTGCAGCAAGAATAGCATCATAATCAAGATCAAAGATAGCAACACCCGCCCTAGACAGCTCGCCCCAGCAAGGGATCTCAGTAGCGTCGGGGAACTGATGACGCCAAGCGTCCGTCAGGCGGCCGAAGCAGCGCTGGGTGGAGTGCAGACCCCCACACTGCTCACCCGCGCGGTCGCCTGTACGCAGAACGTAGGTACAGGGGCCAGCACCCCCACCCCGCTGACGAGCAGCGTACCACTCACGAAGCTGCTGGGGGGAAGGGGTCTCACGAGTGCGCTGCTGCTGCTGGCGCTG